TTAAGATAACAGATTAAGCCAGGGCTATTAACAGCTGAAGCCAGCTGGCAGAGGCGGGATAAAGAAAGTGAAGGCTGAGATGGGGGAGACACACGTAACACGGTTCTGGGTGGGATGCTGAGGGGGTGACGGTGGGGGGAGTGGGGTCCATACCGGAGCACCTAGTTCTTAGGGCAGCAGCAGGCGGAGGCGAAGGACAAAGCCTCCAAACCCAACCATCTGCCTCTCAGTGAAACTAGACGTTGATTGTACTTTGTCCTGGGAACACCACGAGCTGCCAGGACATTCCCGTGCTGTGCCCTGGCTTCCGACCGTCATGCCAAAACGGCAAGAGGCTGGGAGTGGGTGAGCAGGAGAGAGTCCTGGTAATAATGGGATTTACAACTGTATCTAGAAGGCCCCAGACTTGTTATAGGCTACTGCAGGTGGTGGTGGTGGGTGGGGGTGGTGGGGAGGGAGAGAGGAGGGCAGAGGGAGGGAGGAACTTTCCAGATCATATTTCATCCCCTTGCAAATGTTCCGATTCCTTGGCCTCCTTCCAGTAACCTCTGCTCACCTGGATCAAAGGGAAACCGGCTGCATTGTCAGCCCATCACACACAACACCATGCACCGGGCTCCGGCAGACAGCTGGAGCCTGCATGCTGAGCGGTAATCCCACCTTCCTCTTTGCTTTGCTTTCCTCCACTGATTCCCCCGACTGTTTCCCAATCCGGCTCCCATTTCCCTCTCCAGGGTGTCCAGCCGGGACAGCGGACAGCAGCTGGGACCTCTGCAGGTGCACTCTGCAGTGCGGAGGCTGACGGTGGAGCTGCATGCACCCCAGGCCCTCCATGAGCGTCTGGTAATGACGTGCACTCTGTGCAGTTCGGGCTGAGGGCCTGAGGCAGCGCCCATCTTTCGCTCCTCGCCAGGTCCACGGCAGCCACTTTTCCATCTTCCTGCTTTGGGCAGGGGCAGTGGCCCCTCCTCAGGAATGTTCTGGAACATTGCTCCAGCCCTCCGACGACTTGAGGAGCGCCCAGTTCTTCATAGTCATGTTTTGTCTATTTAAATGGCTTTGTGATTTCTGCAGCTGACCCTTCTCCGGCGTAGCACCCCTTTCTGTGATGACTACCATGAACTTTCTAGACTAGGGGTGTCGAACTCAATCAGAGAAGGGGCCAAAATCTAAAATCCAGCCTAAATCGCGGGCCGAATGGTTTACTGAACAGTCATAAACTGTCATTGTGATGGAAACGCAGCGGAGTGCAGTGATGACAGCGCGGTGCGGGCCACATTGCAAGGCCTGGCAGGACGGATTTGGCCCGCGGGCCTTGTGTTTGACACATGTGTTCTAGACGGAAAAGCAGCTGGTGTTCCCGAACCTCTCACACCCTTTCCCGGAAAGAACGCCTCTGGAATGAGAACCGGTGACTGGTTGCCGGAGCAGAGCCTTCGATCTCCCTTGAGGTGCATCATGAACCCATCACCTTTCTTCATGCTCTCCTCCCACTGCCCACGTTTCAGGGTCCGAGGCCACCATTCTGCCCCGAATGTCCTATGAGTGCCTCTGGGGCGTGGGGCCTCGGACAAGGTGCCCGGAGAGACCCGAGGGCAGTAGCTTACAAAGGTCTCTTGTGTTGCGTTCATTTGTGTTGCGTTCATTTAGCAAAGCTGTAATTCACACAACCCATCTGGTCTCCTTCACAGCCAAGGCACAGAGCTGACCCCATTCCTGTCATAGATTTTTAAACTCCAAACACAGATCCAGGTTGATTTTTATTTCTGGGGAACGATCGGATTATTACTTGCATTTTGGAAGCAAAGTCTGATTCATCAGCCACAGGGAGAGGTTATTAATTCGGCGGACGGCTGGGGGAGTAGGGGGTTGGGGGAGTGGGGGCGGGGGGGAATCACTTGGGTTTTTATTCTTCCCCAGAATTCACATTTGGGCCATTTTCTTTTCCTCGCTGCTTCATTGTTTTCTATGACTTTTCATTTGGAAAAAAACACTTAAAAATATTTTGAAATACTCATTTCTCTTTTGCTTTTAAATATTAGGCTGACGTGATCTCTTGCACCCATTTTATGCGCTGGGAGGAATTCATTTCAATGCCAACATTTAATTTGATGATATGGTCTGGCCAGTGACCAGTTTTGGACAACTTTCTAAAATCACTCATTCTTCTAAAGGGGGTGTTTCCTTCTAGAAAATTACTACCCAAATGAGTCACAGTGTGTTCCATCCCTTCGTTGTTAGCGTGACTAAGGGTTTGAGAATTTTTGCAAAACACACTGGTCACGGAAAATGGGGGTGGGGACATGCGGGGGGAGGGGTTTGGGATGGGAATGGGGGGGGATGAGGACAAATATGTGATACCTTAATCAATAAAGAAATTTTAAAAAATAAAAAATAAAAATAAATTAACACGCACACACACACACACACACTAATTCCCTCTCCTGCGCAGGCCGGAAGGTGGGCCTATGGGAAAACCTGGAACAGTCCAGGCCTCCTCAGTCCTGGCGCTAAGATGTGCCTGTGGAACATGTATTTGTTTGCTTGTTTGCTTTTTACATGAGGCTTTTCTGTTGGGACTCTAACGGAGTCAACTTTGGGGACATTCACTATTAAACCAATCTCCCAGAGCTTTTGTTCCAACCATGCCAAGGAGCAGGTGCCCTGGTGCTTCCTAATCTGGCAGAAACGGCTGGAAATTCTGGCCCGGCTTCAAGTTCCCCAGCCCCAGCAGAAAGACTGCCATGCTTCCAACAGAATGAGCTGCTCACTGCTGGGCGAATGGATTCTTCTGCCAGGAGTGCCTTGACTTCTTTGGAAACCCAGAGCTCAGGAAATGAGTGTATTGTTTAAAACGATGACTCTTCTCCTTTTCTACTTTATCTGCTGGTCCTTTTTTTTTTTTTTTTTTTTTCTTATGTGAATTATCCATGCAAGAATTCTCGTGAGCCGATTCGAGAGATTAAGAAATATAGAATATCTTCTAGTATTATGTTAGGTGAGGACAGATGTTTAGTAGGGTGGGTGTAGATAGAAGTCATATGGCATGGTGATTAAGGAAATGGGCTCTGGAGGTGGGCAGACAAATTAGGTGACTGCCCTGTGCCTTGGTTTTCCCATCTGGACAATGGGCATAATGAGAGTAATTAGGAGACTTCGCAAATTCAATTAGACAATACGCAGGGAAAGGCTGGAATAGGGGCTGGGCTCCAGGTGCAGTCAGTAAATGATAGCCACTTTTCATACGATTAGAATCAAAAACACAGAAGAAGACTTAAGAAGTAATTTCTCTCTCATAGTCAACAGTCCATATTCTTAAAAATTGTTCCCTTAGATGATCATTTTCTCTTAAGGAAACGTGTTTGCTTATTATCGATATTTCCAAGATCATTGCACACTTCAAAGAAAAAGATATTTTTTAGAAGTCTATTAGTGTCTTCCAACTGTCATCCATGTTTGGAATATTTATACATGTTTGTGAGGGGTGACAACCTCCTTTTAAAAATCATCTCTCTCCTCCCAGGTAATTTACTAACAGGACATTCCCAAAGCACCCCAAAAGTGAGTCCTCTCACGCATGGCACAGTGGTTTAAAAAAATCTGCAAAGGTTCTCTTTTCAAAACCCAGAAACCTCTGGCCTATTTCCTCAGATAGTAAAATGCATGTGCCTGGAATCTCACAATAAACCTATAAATACTAATCTTGAGATAACGTAAGGATCCCGTCATACCTCAGCAATGCCCTCGCAGAAGAAAAAGCTCCCCCAAATACAAGCAGCCAGAAAGAACAGGCGCCGTTGGTAGGGAGAGAGTAACAGGAAAAGCCCAATGCCCAATATTCAGCCACAGGCTGACTATTCAATTGAGGACTGAGTTTGGTATAAGAAATACTTTTATGGGGAGAAAAATTAAAAGTTGAATACTTTAATCTGGAGGGGAAAAAATGATTTGCCCAGAGCGTCTAGAACTTTAAAAATTGAAACTATCCAACTGTCTTACATTAAAAAAGGAAAAAGAAACAAGAGAGAAGGATATCACCACCAACACAAACATCAAGTTTAAATATAAAGAAGGTATTTAGAAATTCAAATTAGGTAGGCTACCTCTGATTTTAATGGGATCATTAAAAAAACTAAATTTTTAGCTATTGTAGAAAACAATGACCAATCCTGAGGGGAAATATTCTTGCCATTAAATTAGTATGGTATATTTAAGAAATCAAGTGTCATTTTCAAATGACAACCTCACAAATTATGACAAAGCTTTAGCCAGACATATTTTGATCCTAGCTCGGTTACAGAAAACTTTTTATTTGTAGTAAGAGAAACACTTCAGGAGAATGCGGAAGAAACACTTTTCATAAGACCTACGAGTATATTCAAGACCATTTGGAATTCCAGGGCTGGGTGAGCTTCCTGAACATCTCAGCAGGGTATTGTTCCTGTGAGCGCAACTCAACGGGCCGCAGTGACATGTGACAGGAAGCACCAAACCAGAACTGATCACCTGGGGAAGTCTGATGGGATTAGCAGGATTTTTTTCGGTTTGGAGATATCACTGCACATCGCATTATACTTCATCACATGAAATTACCAACTCTCTCTGTTGGCACCTCACCAGGCCCATGGCAAACTGAGAAGTTATGCAACCCACCAACCCAACTCCTCAGCATTGCTATGGATTAAGAGCAGCCTGTACTCAAATGAGTTCTAACCCATGGCCATGGTTCTGACTGAGTTCCCAAGAACAGAGTTTAGAATCTCTGAGTTCAAGGCCAACAACTGGACTGTTTCTAAATGGCTGCATTTGGAAATCGAGACCATCCTTTCTGACTCTGGCCATTGCAAATAGCCTTACTTTGCAAACAGGTGATGGGAAGTAAACAGAACATATTTTGCTGCCTCTTTAAATTCCACAGCCGTACACTACACCGAAGCCTGGGGGGTACTCTCTGCCTTTTGCTGCCAGGGAGAGGAACGCGTGACCCGACAGGGACTCACATCGTAGCCGCTGTTACGAATCCCACGCCGGGGCCGCTCCCGCGTCACCAGAAGGTCCATCTCTGTCTCCCCCGGACTTGGGCTGTTCAGAGACTGCCGGCTTCGGTAGACAGAGTTCTTCATCTGCTGCCTGTAGAGAATCCAACAACTGTTATGATGCAGCAAATGCCCTGACAGATGGAATTCTCCACTGATCCAAAATACGGGCAACCAATGAAGGGTTTGGTTGGATTCGCCTCACAAATCTCAGAATTGATGGTATTGGCTCCCTAGCCCCCAGGGGCCATAGAAATAGTGGAATAAAGATTTTTATTTTTTATTTTTTTAAATTCCAGATGTTATAACCATGTGGCTGAGTTGTAAATGCTCTTTCATCTGGTAACTGCAATCCATCGCAACACTGCAGCCTCATCTAAAATCCTGCTGATGGCCAGGCCGGAGGCTTTCCCAGGACCCTTTAAAAGAGCTAACACTGGAAGAACAAACCTGCTTCTGTTGACTGTTGACTCAGCAGCCTCCTGTTCCTATTAATCTTTCTGATTCTGCAGGCAGGGTTCCATGATGTGTTAATAAACCCTGAGGCTAATGGGGTGCTTAATACTGCCACTTGGGTAGGCTTTCTTTTCTACCTTCACCACCATGGTTTCCCCTTATAAACTAGAGGCAATTTGGGGCTCCTCCATCCATTGGTCCACCTGTCCACCCATATCTAACATTTACTGAGTACCTACTATGTTCCCGTCACCATGAAAGATGATGGAGATCCACAGTGAGCAAGACAGAGCTTACAGCCCTAGCCGGTTTGACACAGTGGATAGAGTGTCCACCTGTGGACTGAAGAGTCCCAGGTTTGATTCTAGTCACGGGCACATACCTTGTTGTGGGCACATCCCCGGGGGGGGGGGGTGGGGGCGCGGGGAGTGCAGGAGGCAGCTGATCAATGTTTCTAACTCTCTATCCTTCTCCCTTCCTCTCTGTAAAAATCAATAAAATATATACATTTTTTAAAAGACAGAGTTATATTCTAGTGAGTGAGACAGATAAACCACATGATAATTTCAGAATGGCACGTGCTCTCTAAACAGTGTAAGCACCTTGTGTATGAACAACAAGGAGATGAGAAGCACAGCAAAACAGTTGTGGGATGTAATGTACTGCTTAGGGAACACAGTCAATAATGTTGTAATAATTACGTAAGGTAGCAGCTAGGTGCTGGAAATATCAGGGGGAACCCTTATAAAGCAAATGATTGTCTAACCACTATGCTGTCTACCTGAAACTAACGCAAAATGATATTGAATAAACTGTAACTGAGGAAACTTTTAAAAGCCAAAATAAAAACACACACAAATAACCTGTTCACCTAGACTTCAAAAATGGGACGCGCACTTCAATAGCTGATAGCTCAATTTTGAGCACATTTTAATAAACACTGCCTTCATAATTATTCAGTGTACTAGTATGTATACATTTTTGGGGGACACCCTATATATGGGATATTCATGTGTGTGTGTTTAATCAACGATAAGGTATAGTATTGTTGGCAATAAAAACCTTATAACAATGTTCAGAGAAACAACAAGGGGATGTGACCGGGGTGATGAGGATGGGGGACGGCCTTAGACAGGATGGTCAGGGAAGGCCTCCAGAAGAGGTGACCTACAGGCAGCCACATGCCCACCTGGGCACCTGAGCCCGTTCAGAGGCCCCCCTCGGCTCTCCCTTGGAAACGCCGACGTTTGCCACCACTGCCCTGTTTGCACTTGTCGTTAGAGGAACTTTTTGAAGAGGAGGAAAACAACAGCCTCAAATGCAGGTTGTGGCTTTGCATTGCTTTTTCCACAGGAAGTCACACAAGTTGGGAGTGAGGCCCAGTGGGGACAGGTGACTTTCATGTGATCCTTTGAGTGACAAAATCACCAACTTCCTTCTCAAACAACAGGTTTCCCCCTATTAATAACTTGCATTTCAGAGCATCTAACTTGAGAGAACTCCCCAGAGACCATGTCTATTCAAGTCTTTTTTTTTTAAATATATATATATTTTTTTTAATTGATTTTTTTTTACAGAGAGGAAGGGAGAGGGATAAAGAGTTAGAAACATCGATGAGAGAGAATCATCGATCAGCTGCCTCTTGCACACCCTCTACTGGGGATGTGCTCACAACCAAGGTACATGCCCTTGACCGGAATCTAACCCTGGGACCCTTCAGTCCACAGGCCGATGCTCTATCCACTGAGTCAAACCAGTCTCGGCCTATTTCATATCTTGATTCTAATATGCTATTCATGGGTTGAAGGTAAAACAGTTGCTTTATTTGTTCTCAGTGGCTTTGTGGGAAACCAGAAATCTGGCACATATATACGCCTTTTCAAGATCATACCCCCTCCCCCACAAATGTCAAAGTATGGCAGTCACACCCTGTTAATCTAGAACAGACATAGGACTCCCAAAGCAAAACACGACCCTGCAATTAGCCCAGGGAATGAAACAGACACCAATAGACCTGCGCCCCCACCACGAGGGTTTACACCTATTTAGAGAGATTACACCTATGCTCTCTGCTTGCCTGGCACGCATATGCTGTTCTCCGTGGCATTCACTTACTCCGGGGGGTGGCATGAGAATCGGCCTGTACAATCACAGCATCGCACCCCCGTGGCCACAGTGATTGGTCAGAGGGAGTTGGTCCGAGGACACTGAATCCCAGGACTTTGGCTAGAGCACCCAGGAAACAGGCATTCTCTTGGCATTGAGGCTCCTAAGAAGACAGAATATAAGCCTAGCGGTGCTGCTGCCGCTAAGAGGAAGAGCCTGCCTGAGAAGGAGCCAGCAAAGAGTGGAGAGAGAGCAAGGTAAGTATGGGAGACATTGCATGATCCCTGGGACCTGGCCACACTGGAAGCCTTGACCTTTCAATTATGTTCAATAATAAATTCCCTTTTATTTAGCCCGTTTGTGCTGGATTTTCATCCCTTGCAACCGAAATAATCCTGACGAACATAAGAGTGTCGAGCCGGCCATAACAACAACGTGCCCTAGAGTTGTCTGCAGTGAGAGGCTGCCTTTGGGAGTGGAGCACAGCTTTGTAAAACAGAATCCGTCCTGAGTGATTTAAGAGAGACCCACGGAACGCTCTTCCTTGACCTACTTACAGACCTTTCTCTTTTTTCTTTTTTTTTTAAGTAGATGTCATGGCTGCCCTGAGGTTGCCAATTAGCCCATTTAGAAAAGATTTACTAATAAGGGTGGTTGGGAATAAAACCCTAGGATTAGTAAAGTGGGTTATTTTGGAAACATCAGAAATACAACGTGAGATGGTTCCCTTTCAGGAACCCTGAGTGTGGGAGAGAGCTGAGGCGCCGGAGTGCACGCCAGCCGCCTTCAGGGTCCAGAGCTTCCAGGCCGTGCTGTTCAGTATGGACCACCACCGAGCAGACCGTCAGTGTGCACAGTGTGCAAGCAACTACTCAGAAACAATGAGGCTCCTGGGCAGACAGGTTACTTATTTTAACCAAATAGAGTTCCAAGAGGTGAATTAATTTCTTGTTGTTATTTTGCTATAGTCGTTAAAAGTCAACAAATTTGGAAAGTTGCAAACTTGAGAAGTAAGGTTTTTTTTGTTTTGTTTGTTTTGTTTAACTCTGAAAATATAGGTGGGTAGATAATGATAAATTTTGTTTGGATTTTTAGGACCGAGGGTGATGAGGATGGGGGACGGCTTTAGATAGGACTGTCAGGGAAGGCCTCTGTCGTTTAAGAAAGCAGTTCCCAAATTGTGTTCTAAAGAAAAGGTGTTACCTATATACAAATGGAATATTACACACATAAAAAGAATGAAACCTTACCATAGAATATCCTCTAGCCTGGATGGATCTAGAGGGGTATGATGCTAAGTGAAATAAGTCAGACAGAGAAAGACAAATCCATATGATTTAAATTATAGGTGGCGTCTAAAAAAACCAAAATAAACGAACACTCAAAACAGACTCATAGATATAGAGAACAAACTGATGGTTGCCAGATGGAAGCAATTGTGGAGGACTGAGTGAAAAAAGGTGAAAGGGTCAAGAAATAAAAATGGGTAGTTGTGAAATTGTCACAAGGATGTAAAGTACAGCATAGATAATACAGTCAATAATATCGGAATAAATATGGATGGCGCCAGACGGGTCATTGACTGATCAGGGGGGTCGCTTCACAAGTTACATAAATAAATGTCTAGCCACTAGGCTGAACGTCTGAAACTAATAGAATAGGGAATGCCAACTATAATTGAATTTTTTTTTTTAATTTTAAGTTTCAACGGAAAGTTTTGTTAATTTCTCAAATTTGCACATGATTTGATTCCTTTTCTGAGTGTCAGCAGGAAATCCAGAAAAAACAATTTCCCACCCTGTCTATAAAAGAATGCTGAACTGAAAGGTGTCAACATGCAAAGTAAATGCTAAAGAAGCCCCCAGCCTCCCCATAAAATCCATATCTTCTTTCTACAGTTATCAACATGGTGACACCAGCATTGTGTCCCTTGTCACAGTGTGATTTCACATCAATAGCTTGCCATCCCTACCAAGCCTAATGAGAAGCATGTTAAATGAAGCACTGGGTTAACAATCCCTCATTTCTTTGTTGAAAACAAATTCTGTCAATTCCAGTAAAAAATTTTAGCCTCACCTCCAGGCTTGATTTTGTGTTTTCCATCCAAGCCTGTCACATGGTCATGTCTGCTTTTAATAAACACCCACGCAGGCAGGGAATGGCCCTGCTTGAGTTGCCCCCAGCGATGGAGGAAGCCAAGCTTTCCGCACACCCTGGCCAGCCTAGGCCTCCAATCAAGGCTACAAAGTTTCAATTATAGAAGATAAATAAATCCCAACAAAAATGGCTGCGGCCACAGAGCAAGCAGGAGGCTTGGCTCCTTGAGAGTTTCAATTATAGGAGATAAATAAATCCCAGACACCAGGTCCTTCAATTGGGTGGCCGGGGGGGTGGGGGGTGGGGGGGTGGCGTGGCCGGCCTGCAAACCACCACAGGCCCTTCGCCCAGGTTGCCCCATGCCCCAAGAAAATCCTCACCCTGATCTGGGACACTCTTCAGGGCAAATCAGCTGGCCCCTACCCTCTGAAGCAGGCCTCAATCCTCTCTAATAAAAGAGTAATATGCAAATTGACCATCACTCCAACACACAAGATGTCTGCCCCCATTTGGACACAAGATGGCCACCACACAGTCTTGGAAGAGTGTGTCTGCCAAGGCTAGGGGATGGGTTAGAGCATCAGCATGCTCTCAAGCCAAGGGGCCATCACCAAGGAGAATGTGTATTTGGGAGCCATGGTCTCAAATCATGAAAGAGTGTTTCTGAAGAGGTGCTTTGGGGTGAGAAGGAGAAGAAGAAAGATGGGCGTGCACAGCTTTGCTAGAACCTCTATTCCTTTACCCAGCAGGTGAGACCACTCTCTGCTCAGCTGGCAACACAACTTGGAAGGATGATCATTCAAACTACTGGGCCTAACCTGCCCTTGGGAGGCCGGGTCCCCTGATAGACTGTTACAGCACCTCACATTTCAACTCCCATCACACTTGTGAGAAATAAACTTTTGAGGCGGTTATCTTTCTCTCCCAACTCGGACCTTAAGAGCAGCCATTGGGCTGTCTTATCTGTCATAAAATGTTGAATGAGTTGAATGGATAAGTGAATACATGAGTGAGAAAAAGCAACATGACTGTGACAGTATTCAGCATCTTGCGTGGTGGTTAATACACAGTAGGAGACAACAAATGTCAAATACATCAACAAATTCATGAATTAAAGAGATGAACCCAGCGCGGAGCTCCGAGTAGCTATGTGGTAAATATTTACTGCAGCTGAATGAAAAGGTGAGGCACGAAATTTGCTTTTCTTATGCAAGAGCCTCTAAAATAAATGAAAAACACCATGCCTCTTGATCTGGAAGTTGCATAATCAGGTAGGTGATAATTATATCTTCACCCAGCTCTGAAGCAGCTAAAGTTTGAAAATATCATTAAGCAGACGGACAATTATGGTTGTTTGCCTAAGTATTTGTGGCTTCAATATTATTCTCTTCCAGACTCATTATGGAGCACGTGCTCACACAAGAGGATGGCCCGGCTCAGTGGCCTTCAAAGATGACAGTCCTAAGCTAACAGATCAAGGGACCAGGACTGCATTGCCCAAGGCACCCTCTACCCTCATCCCACCAATGGCACAGCGACCTTCAAACAATTCCCTTACAGACCGCACCTGTTTTTAGACTCGGCGAATGGGGCACACAGTTCTGGGTCTGGATCTAACACATGCTCGATTTCCTTTTGCGATTTCTCATACATCTTTTTTCTTTCCGTCTGGGCCTTGTTTGTCTCCACTGCAGGGAAATCATAATACCCCTTCCTCTTGGCTTTGAGGCGCAGCTTGTTCCGATAGTGTTCGATGTCTGACTTCTGCTTCAGGGCTTTGTTCACCTGGGGAGAGAGAGAGTCTCAAGTCCACACCTGAGCCTGCACAGCGGAGGGTCACAACTCCCAGAGTTGTGTGTGTGTGTGTGTGTGTGTGTGTCTGTCTGTTTGTCTGTCAGTGCGGATCCCCGGGGGGCTGCCTAGGATTCTGGAACCCACCAGGACTCTGGTAAATAAACCGTGAGTGATTCGTGCATTGCATATTTGTCTCCTATGTGATTTATGCTCGGTGGAATTATTAAGTACCTAGGGTCGTACGTGTCAGATTTCTGGCTGATGCACCCTAGGTCACCTATGCATATGTCCCTTATGGAATTATTGGGACAGAAGGTAAAAAAAAGATGCTCTGAAAACATCATCTACCGAATTTGTTTTGGGTGACTTGTGCCCCAATTCATTCCGCTAATGAATTGAGGTGGAAATGACCGAAGGAGCCCTATAACCCTGGACGCAGCCTGCCCCCACCCGGCATTTCCAGGTGGTGCTCCTGGCCGCCTGGCTCTCGCCCATGCTGGGTGCTCAGGTGCTCACCTCGCCGCCGTTGAGCGCTGCGGCCTCCTGGCTCCGGTCCGGGGCGGGCTGCACCACGGGGAGGGCTGTGGGCTTCACTGCGGTGAGCTGCACGGATCCGGAAGAGGAGTCGAAGGGATCGGCAGCCGCCTTGCCAGAGCTGTCGAACAGAACCGCGCCTTCCTCTTCATCGCTGGCAGACACTGAAACACAAATAAACACATCGGTTTCATGGCCGGAGGGGAGCCTCAGGGACATGCGGGGACTTATGCCTGATGCTAATAGCACAAGGACGTTACTTGACTCAAAACGACCTCAGAAACAACAGGGTCTGGTTCTGTGCCAAGGGCTCACTGCTACTCATGTATTTCTTCTTAATATATATTTTATTAATTTTTTTTTACAGAGAGGAAGGGAGAGGGAGAGAGAGTTAGAAATATCGATGAGAGAGAAACATCCATCAGCTGCCTCCTGTACACTCCCTACTGGGGACGTGCCCGCAACCAAGGTACATGCCCTTGACCGGAATTGAACCTGGGACCCTTGAGTCTGCAGGCTGAGCCAAACCAGTTAGGGCTCATGTATTTCTTTTAAACATGCTGCCTGATGTGTTATCCATGGGTAGGAAAGAATTTTAAAAGTCTGAATTTAAACGGTAAAAATCATTTTTCCCCCCAAACTTGCGACAAACACCTTTAATAAAAAATAAAAAAAGTACATTTTTTCCTTCAAGTTTGAGTCAGAGATGGGAAAAAATGCCACTTGGCCAAACGTGGAACTCTTCTTAAAACATGACAATCCACTGAATAACAGCATTCAGTTCAATCTCTGCCACCAGTTACCCATTTTTGCACCATGTTAAGGTCAACCAGCCACAGTAACTGCAGCTGATACTTTTCCCCCCCTAAAGCCTGTCTCTCAATGATTTGAGTTTTAGTTTCTTTCATTTTGTCTAAAACAAAAGAAAGCTAAGAAAAAGCAACCGGGAGAAATGAATATAAAGCTACTGACAACTCCCCTAATTAAATAGAGCAATTTTCACCTCCGCTCTTTTGCATTAATTCTCGCCTCTGACAGATAATAATTCTACTGCGATTGCTTCCAGAACTGAGCTGACGGAAGGAGTCCCGGGGCTGGTGGTACTTGCTGATTTACTTCTCCTTCAGGCATCTTCCCATTAACTGACTATAAGAATGACAGTTTATTGAGCATGGCTGAGGGAGAGACAAATTAAGCCTGTTCCAGCAACTAAACCAGCAGGCAATTTAGGAACAAAATAGGTGTTATTAAAATACGAATGTAATAGAAGTGTATTTATCTTTCCTCTGGTCTGCTCAAGAGATTGGGATGTTATTTAAATCATTGAGAAACACATAGTTTGTATCCTTCTGTCGCTTGCCATAATCACAGAACATTTGCCTAATTAAGCTAAGTAAATTGTGGCTAAAACGCTTCAGAGTCTAACAATGGCTGTAATTGGAGTATTTTTTGGTTCTGTGGACTCATTGGCAGATAGCAGGCCACCAAACTGCCAATGACAGAGAACAATCTCTATTCAGACAGGTTACCAGATGGATATGCTATGGTACCCAGCCTCCCAGATGATTACCTCCTCAGAGTCATGGACACAATAAATAGGACCGACCTGAGTAACCAAAAGGAAATTGCAGAAGTGAGAGTGTGCTACTTCCACGGCTAGGTCCTTAGAAAACATTGTGGCTTCCGCCTTGCTCTCTCCTGGACCCCTTCCTCTGGGAACAGCCAGCTGCCACGCTATAAGGACATTCAAGTAGCCCTATGGAGAGGTCCTTATGGCAAGAAAATGAGACTCCTGCCCACAGCTGGGAATGAGCCATCTTGTAAGTGGATTTGGCAGGCCCAGCCAAGTCTTTAGAAATGACTTATAGCCCAGACAGTGACCTCATGAAATTCTGAGCCAAAACCACCCAGCTAAGCCACTCCTGAGTTCCTGACCCACAGACATTATCCAACACCATAAATGTAGATTGTCGCTTTTGGTTACTAGGTGTTGGGGTGATTTGTTACGCAGCAACAAGTGACTAATGCATCTCCTAAACAAACCCCTCCTCCAAGCTTCCAGTCTTGTCCTTCTAGCCCTAAAATGCATACTCCACCAGCAGACAGGATAGATCATCATATATATATATATATATATATTTGATTTTTTACAGAGATGAAGGGAGAAGGATAGAGATTTAGAAACATTGATGAGAGAGAAACATCAATCAGCTGCCTCCTGCACACCTCCTACTGGGGATGTATATGCAACCAAGGTACATGCCATTGACTAGAATCGAACCTGGGACCCTTGAGTACACAGGCCGACGCTCTATCCACTGAGCCAAACCAGTTAGGGTTGGATCATCTTTTAAAAAGACAACCAGGTCACAGTACTCCTTTGACCAGAACCCTCTGGAGGCCTTGTGTCTCTCAGAATAAAACTCAGGCCACCCAGGTTCTGTACAAACTGGTCCTGGCGACCTTGCCCAGCTCATTCCTCCCTCTCCCCTTTGTCCCCTCTCCAGCTACAGCAGCTTCTCGAACACAGCAGGCTTGTTCCCGCCTTGGGGTTTTGTTCACTTTGCTCAGAAAGCTCTTTCCCCAGTCCTTTACATGCCCAGTTCCTTCTCAGTTTTCAAGTTGCTGTTTGAAAAAAACACTTTCCTTGCCTACTCATCTAAAACAACCTGCCTCATCACTCTGTTATATTTTTTTTTTAAAAATATATATATATTATTGATTTTTTACAGAGGAAGAGAAAGGGATAGAGAGTTAGAGTTAGAAACATCGATGAGAGAGAAATATCGATCAGCTGCCTCCTTCACACCTCCTACTGGGGATGTGCCCACAACCAAGGTACATGCCCTTGACCGGAATCGAACCTGGGACCTTTCAGTCCGCAGGCTGACACTTTATCCACTGAGCCAAACCGGTTTTGGCCACTCTGTTACATTTTCTTCACAGCATGCAATGCTATTGATTTTTGTACTGATACTAGAATGTAAGCCCCATTCTTGCCCATATTTTTAAAGGCAATACTTATTGCCTTTAATAATGTCTCATAGGCTTTCAATAGGGATTTGCTGAGTAAATGATGAATAAAGGAATAACTAAAATTTCCTGACTTGGAAAGGAGATGTCAGTACCTGCAGAACAGGTAACCATGTGATGAGATGGTACTTCACACTTTTATTGCTTCTGGGCTGTGACATCCTCACTGCCCGCCCCATGGACAAGATAAGGGGAGGATCATAACTCCAAGGAGAAAGAAAAAGGATGCCCCTGGCACTGCACAAAACTGTAGTTCCTGCCGGAACCGATATGGCTCGGTGGATAGAACATCGGCCTGAAGACTCAAGGGTCCCGGGTTCGATTCTGGTCAAGGGCATGTACATTGGTTGCGGGCACATCCCCAGTGGGAGGTGTGCAAGAGGCAGCTGATCGATGTTTCTCTCTCATCGATGTTTCTAGCTCTCTATCCCTCTCCCTTCCTCTCTGTAGAGAATCAATAAAATATATTTAAAAAACAAAACAAAAACAAAACTGTAGTTCCTTTTTCATTCTCACTGTCAGAATAGTCAAATTCAGATTTGCACAATAATTCCTCTTGGTTTAAGAGAAAAATAGTGATCCTCTCCCCTCCCCTCCCCCAAAGACTATATGGAAAAATACATTAAAGGGCATTACATTATATACTAATACTGTGTGAGTACAGCAGGTTCATGGGAATAGTTAATGCATAATTAGTCCCCCCCAAAAAAGCACCAGAGAACGCTAAACAAAAAGGCCACAGTTAAACCTCTGATGTGTCCTAGATGCCATCGTCGTTGTCACAATAAATGCCATCATCACAGTAAATGCCACCAAGCAGATCTGGTTGTGCCTTAGTTTAGTGTTGGCCTGAACTTCTGCAAATCAGGCTCGGAAGGGAGATTTCGTTTCTCGATGTTTATTTTCCATTGGCATGGCGGGAGGAAGGAAGCCCTCCCATTTGACGCAGATAATGCTCTTGAACAAGGCAGGCTCTTCCCTTCTGGAATTTCCCTTAAAGTTAGAGACTATTTATAACTAGCGTCACTGCCCTCTGGTGTTTGTCAGATAATAAGCAAGTCTTCACTTCCCTGGGATGGCACAGAGAGAATGAAAACTGAAGCTGTGTTTCTGAGCTCATATCTCTGTCACATCTCTCAGTGCCGTCAAGGAAGGAGCACAATTAAGGGTGTATGGAAGTTTTTGCTCTTAAATGACTAAACATTTAAATATATATATTGTAGTATGTCCTCATCTGGAACTCATTTTTAACTCATTTCCCAGAAAACACTTTTTCCAAGGTGCCATTGGTTCGTTTTTCTTTTTCTTTTTTAATTCTGGAAAGAGGAAGGGAGAGAGAGAATGTGATAGAAACAATAATGATGAGAGAGAATCACTGATTGGCTGCCTCCTGCTCGCCTCCTACTGGAGATCGAGCCCAAAAGCCAGGCATGTGCCCTGACCAGGAATCAAATTGTGACCTCCTGGTTCATGGGTCAATGCTCAACCACTGAGCCACACTGGCTGGGTGACATTGGTTTTAATTTAGAAGTCAAAGTGTCTGTATTTGGTTGAAAAAAATTCAAAATTCTTTTGCTTTCAAAATCCTAGCTGTCATCTCAGTCTTTCTCATTTATATGTAAACACTAGAGGCCCAGTGCATGAAATTTATGCATGAAGCAGGGGGGGTTTCCTCAGCCCAGCCGGAACCCTCTCCAATCTGGGACATCCCTCTCACAATCCTGGACCACTGGCTCCTAATCGCTTACCTGCCTGCAGGCATGATTGCCCTGAACAGCACCCCCCTTTGCCAGCCTGGTCACCCCAACTGTCCCCCCCCCCACTGGCCTAATTGCCCTCACTGCCCCCTTGCCAGCCTAATTGTCCCCAACTGCCCCCCACTACTGGCCTGGTAACCCCCAACTGCACCTCCCCTAGCGGCCTAGTTGGCCCCAACTGTCCTCCCACCCCCTGCTGGCCTGGTTGCCCCTCACAGCCCTCTTGCTGGCCTGGCCACCCCACACAGCCTGCTTATTCAGTCATTTGGTTGCCCCTCACTTACCTCCGTCCCCCCACAGGCCTAGTCGCCCCATGCAGCCTGCTTGTTCAGTTGTTTGGTCACCCCTCACTAACACACCCCTGCCAGCCTGGTCATAGGCAGCCATCTTGTGAGTGTGCGATGGTCAATTTGCATATTACCTCTTTATTATATAGGATTGTCCTGAAACAGCCTCTAAAGTAGGGAGCTAATGAGGCCATTGAGCTACAAGGACCCACTCTGCTGCGTTCCTAGAGGGATAATGTCTTTCCCTTTTAAAGGTCTTATTTTCACAAAAGTGGAAAATCACAAGGTACACATGCAACAAAACTGGTGGGAAACAGTTTTAGAATGACAGCCCGGAACATTAACACTCGTTCGTTAACCTTAGTAACTCTAACCTAGAATGGATACCGAGCTATAAAACATCAGTATCTGAATATTCCATACCAAGAGAAGAGTCCTTTCTCAGAGACCACAGTCTCTAAAATACCTTTCGCAAGCTGATAATACAGTACCTTTTTGTATTTCTCCACAATTCCAATGTTATGTCTTTCCTTCCTTCTTCCCTCCCTCCTTTTCTTCCATTCCTTAGGTTCATCTTCCAATTCAATAAAACACACGACTGATTTTTTGGGGGGGCAGACTATAACCTAGCATGATGATCCAGGGGAGCCCTTTGATAAAAAATGACAAGTGTAGGTTCCGTTGAAGGTCCCACTAGAATTCTGATGTGCTTCAGCATGTTTACATTAAATGAGTTGGTGCTACCACTTCTGTTTGAAAATTTCCAACGGAAACCTCGCTGGGTGGGAACCAGAGGTGAAACAGCAGCGACCAACCCTGAACATCCACAGGGTTGACTTCAGCGAAGCCCTGGGACCCGGGAGGAAGGGTGGCGTTTAAATAAATTGTGCGAACCCCTCCACCGGGTCAGTAATTGCATTTTGCTTGTGTGCCGTGCTGTAGTCATTTCTGAACCTGATGTGCAAATAATCACAGTGACCCAAACAGAATAAGGAGGCAGGCAGAGCGGGTGGCAGAACAAGGATGGGGAGATCGGCGGGGACATTTTGAGCCTGTCCGTGTCTCCCCAGGGGCGTGGGGAGCAGCGGGGTCTGAAACCGGCCCTGCTCCTCCTTGTCTCTGAAATAAGTGCGGGGGACGGAGAAAGGCATCATCTCGTATGTGTGTATTTACTGACAGAGGAGTCTGTAGGCTGCACATTCTTATGCGAGAAAAAGGCCACAGAACAGTATGTGCTTGATCCAGTTTTACAAAATAAAACAAAGCTACACAACAGAAAACAAAGCAACGGGTGTGTTGTCACATGCATAGTAAAAAGGTCTGAGAAAGACATGCCAAGTTATTCAAGGTCATTTGAGGACTAGAGTGGATAATGGGGGGCCTGGAGGAGAGAGGACTTGGACTTGACCTTATATATTTCCAGGAGGAATATAAAAGAAGGCAGGGCTGAAACTGGTTTGGCTCAGCGGTAGAGCATCGGTCTGTGGACTGAAAGGTCCCAGGTTCAATTCCGGTCAAGGGCATGTACCTGAGTTGGGGGCACATCCCCAGTAGGGGATGTGCAAGAGGCAGCTGGTCGATGTTTCTCTCGCACTGACGTTTCTAGCTCTCTATCTCTCTCCCTTCCTCTCTGTAAAAAACCAATAAAATATATTTTAACAAAATAAAAATAAAGGCAGGCAGGGAGGGAGGGTTGGAAGAGAGTAGAGAAGCAGGGAGAGTCCCTTGATTGGGTGGTGATGGCAGTCTCTGGACTTGGTTAAAATAACTTTCCCCTGTGTCTTCGCTGCCCATTGTCTCTGTGTTGCCTCCATCCCTCTCCCATTCTCTCTTAGCTCCTCGCTTTGAGAAGGAAGAAAAGAAAGTTGCTAGGTTCACGTCCCCCTTCACATGTCAGGGCTCAGGCCCTCTGTGAGCTGGCGTGGCCGAGCGCTGATGGGCAGGATTTCTGCCCCCAGGAGGACAGATGTCCCAGGAAAACCCCACGTGTCACGGCCTGGTTCCAGTGAGGGAAGCAGTCTCCGCGTTAGAGGGCAGGGAAGTTCAGGAGAAGAAGAAAAAATGTAAGGATCATATCAGCATGACATTTCAAACGAGTGCTTTATATGCTAGCTGGGCCTGGGGTCCATTGTAACTTTCTTTCTTTTCTGTCTCTCTTCTTCCTTTTGCCAAAAACAAAGAAATAAGTAAGCGACCTTTGAAAGCAAAAGAATGTTCTGGTACTCACTTCCAGAAAGAGCCCCTGAGCACACCTCATCCAGTTCCTCTAAAAAGGAAGCACAGCCAAGCAGACTGCCAGGTCACTGGGCTTTCCCCCTGGCGTTGCTGTAGGGCTCTGCCTGCACCCCTTGGACCTCCAAAAGGAATCTTCCTGGATCCGGGGGGCAGCATGGGGCACTTGAATCTGGTCTCCAGGAAGCCGGCATCACTCATGGAAGGACCGAGTTGGGAGGAGGACCAGGACAAAGGTGGGACTGGGAAGACAGGGAGGCTATGTATAGATGTGAGCTATGTAGAGATGGTGCCACAGCACAGCCCGGTGGCTCTGAGGCCTTCCCAACAAACCCAACACTGAACCTTTAGAAGGAGGGAGAAGCTATCTGTTTGAGAAACTCAACAGTTCAGCTTCCCTGGAAAATAAGGCAGGAGCCTAGGCTGATGTCTATGGTGATATTTATTTCTGTGCTGTTTCTCCTGGGAGAGGTGGGTTTGCAGCATCTGGACGCACCAGCCTAGAAGGAACCCCTGGAACATTCAGGGGAGCCGGGGAAAGAAAATGGGGGGAATCTCCAAGACAAGCAGCATTTCAGACACCTGCCACCCAAGAGGACCTGGGGCTAGAAACGTCGATTTACCCCAGAACAGAAAAATCTCTCAGCAAGCATCCGTTCATTCTACATTGGAGTTTTGTTTTTCTTTAAAGCCCTGCACAATTCTGTAAGAACAGGAGCCAGGATAATTCAGAGACGGGGGTAAGGTAGGAAACGGGCTTGAGGTCTTTGTAGGACAAAACAGAAAGAAGAAATGAGAGTGGCACGCTGGGGTGTGTGAGTGTGTGCAGGCCTGTGTGCACACATGTGTGTATCCGTGTGTGGGACAGGCTCAAGGGTGGTACTTGGCAGGGAAGGCTTCTCACCATTTCTCTTCCGTGCCTCCTCCTTTGTCGCTTTCTGCTGTGCGGTTACATTCTGGGGTGAGCGCCTCCCTGAGCTGAGCTTCCCTGATTCGTTGCTGATGACAGAGCCGTTCTCACTGGGTGACCTGCTGGAGGTAACCATAGCAACAAGGAGATGGTAAGTTTCGACGAGCACAGCCTTCTCTCAAGGTTATTTTATTTGCACAGTTTATGTCTGTAGCCTTTCGTTCTGGTTTTATCTACAAGAAAAGAAACGATGCGGAATACTTTAAAAAAAACACTCCTTCTGCAGCAGGGGTCACGTAGCTGGCTGTCCTGATGGGCGCTGGCCGGTGCTGAGCTCGGCAGAGAAGTTCAGTGAGCGCCGCCCTCGGTTCCCATCTCTTTTTCATTAACCCCCGGTGACTGTGGAAATGGTTTGAAGCATGTTCTCTTATTAAAACACAGCACTTCGGAGATGTTGCCGAGTGTTTGATTCACGTAGCATCTTCAGGGTTCACAGTTCTCTTTGGCTATTCTCTATAGAGAATATACCTTATACCTTAGCCACTAAAAACGAAGTCACTCCATCATTAAATTCTCCTCTCTCTCTCATTCACACACACAAACACACACACATTCTTAACTGTGCTAACTGCTAGCTACTTTCATCTGAAACTACCAATGTGAGCTATTTTCATTCATTAGGGAAATACACTGTGAGCGCCAACTGTATTGGGCATTGTGCCAGGTATACAGGGCACAGAGGGCAGGTATAGAGGGAGGTGGCCAATCAGCCCTGGAAGCCAGAGCTCCCCCTGCAGGTAGTGGCTTTCCCCACATGCCGGAGCACCTTCTCTTTTTTACTTATTTATTTTTTTTAAATTTAATTTTATTTTTATTGGTTTTAGAGAGAAAGGGAGAGAGAGAGAGAGAGAGAGAGAGAGATAGAATCGTCAACAATGGGAGAGAATCAATGATCGGCTACCTCTTGCACGTCCCACACTGGGGATCGAGCCTGCAACCTGGGCATGTCCCCTTGATGAGAATCAACCTAGGACCTTTCAGTCTGTAGGCCGACGCTCTATCCACTGAGTCAAACCAGCTAGGGCAGCACCTTCTCTTTACAGTATCTCCTGCGTTTAGACAAGGGGAGCCACAGGGCCTTCTCACCTTCCCCCACCCCTCCCGGGGCTAGACTCTGGCCTTCTGGGCCCAGTGGGAAAATGGGCTCCGGAGAGCCCCTGCTGAGTCCATGCTGAGCGAGTTCATGCTCCCTGCAGCCTTCGATCACGCCAGCCTGTAGGTGGGTTGAGCATAAAGCCTTCCCTCTGCCAGAGACCACCAGGGGGCAGGTATCCAGAGGCCTCACCCAACCCCTTGTTCATCTGTTGTCAGTTGTCCAGACTCAGAACCTAATGGCACGGACCCCTTCCATGGAAACTGACTGGGACAAAATGCGGCACTTTCTATGGATGCTTCTCTTCCTCCTCCTTCCTCCCTCCTCATCCTGTGGGAACTTGGCATTCTCAGTTCTGTACAACTCCACGTACTTCGGCACCCCAAAATTCATGAACACTGGAAGCGGCCACTCACAGCCATGGGCCAAGGTAGAGTCTGCCAAGAGTGGAATACATAGTACAAGTGGGATGTTCTTGTCCAAGTTCCACAGACGAGTCTAAGTTTGGGAAATGTTTATTCTATTCCTAATGCACACGAGCACGGCAAAGGCTCAGATCCGCCCTGTCATAAAGAGACTCATAGCATTTTTCTAATTCAGCACTTCCTAGTTTATCTAGCTATAGGTCTCTTTTACCATCACAACTTCTTAAACTCTGACTCACCCACTACCACTTCCTCCAAGGTTCACATCAGCCTCTTTGACCTTCTTGCTCTCCTTTAAGCAAATCAAGAAGTTCCTGCCTCTGGGATTTACATATACTGTTCCATCTGCTTAGAACCGTGGTCGGCACACTGCGGCTCGTGAGCCGCATGTGGCTCTTTGGCCCCTTGAGTGTGGCTCTTCCACAAAATACCTCAGCCTGGGAGAGTCTATTTTGAAGAAGGGGCATTAGAAGAAGTTTAAGTTTAAAAATTTTGGATCTCAAAAGAAAGTTAAGTTGTTGTACTGTTGATATTTGGCTCTGTTGCCAAACACTGGCTTAGAACGTTTTTCCTCTAGATAGCCTTGAGGAAGGCTATCATCATTTCCATCAGGTCTTTCTCAAATGTCACTCCATCAGAGACGCCGTCCCTGACTTCCTGCTAAAATAGCGTCACAGCCCCCTCTCCATCTCTCTCTGTCCTTTCCATGCTTCGGTTTTCTTCTCCACATTCACCACCACTAGACCTACTATATATCTCGTTCTCTGCTTATTGTCTATCTCTTCACTAGATTGTAAATCCCAAGAGAGCGGGAAATTTGCTTGGTTCACTGCATTATCCCCAATGCCTGCTGAATAGTAAACAATCAATAAATATCTGTGAGGTGAAGGGAAGGAAAGACAGAAGGAGGCAGGCAGGGTGTTGCTTTTCCAACCATTGTGGTCTCCAGGCAAGAGAGAAGGGGGTGAGCAATGGGAGTTTGTTAAGCCAGCCTTAGGGTTCATTACCTCTTTACAAGGCAATTGTGAAGTCTTTATAGTGAGTCTCCTGGCCTCAAGCCTAACGCTCCCATCTATCTTCCACATTACCACCCGAGTCATCTTTCAGGCTGGGCATTACTGTCGGCCTGAAGAGCTTCCCATGGCTTCCCATTGGCTAGAGCACCAAGGTCAAACTCCTGAGCCTGCAAATGAAAACCATCTACAATTTTAACCTGTCTTCTACTTTCATCTTCACTACATCCCAGCCCTCAGAACTCTAAACTCAAGGAAACTCACCATTAAGTGACTGTGGCTGTCCCTTATCCCTCCCGGCCCTTTTAGACTGGATGCCTTCATGTCTTTCCACCTATAGACACTCCACACACCCTGCAAAGCCCAGCTGAAACAGAACCTCCTCCACGCTGCTCTCCCTCATCAGAATTAAGCTCCTCCTCCTCTCTGTTCCACAGCACTTTGTTCAGACTCCAATGTGGGCGCCGGTGCACTATGCTTGGATTCACGCTGTCTATCTCTTCGTCTCTCCATCACAAGATTCGCGGGGTCAGGAATCAATCGTAAACCTCCCTGTAGTCCTCCCAATACATGTCAGTGGACTCTCTTCATAGTGAAGTCTCAATAAATGGCCTTGAACTAAAATCATAAACCACGGAGAAACTGCTAGATAAACCACAAAACTACGCATGCTGAATCCAAGGAACGGCTTTTGCTGTAAGTTGCAATGTGTAAGGGTGATATCCGTGCCAAATTAATTACAATAAATATATGAGCTAGAGCTCTGCTGTCATGGTTGATCTGCAATGCAAAACCTTACAAAGGCTGGCTCGGGAGAAGCAGGTATTATGATTCCCCTCATCCCTTCGGTCTCCTTTTCAAATATTCAACATGAACGTGAAGGGGAATGTTTAAAGAGAACAGTGGGATTCATTTGAGCGCTTTGGTTCCTCTCACCATCCATTATTCCTCTTGTTGACACGGAGTGGCCAGAGTTGGCCCCATGCCTACCTCTTTCTGGTTTCGGTGGACTTGGCCGTCTTGATGGTGCTTCCGTCCTGGGTGACGTCCCTTTCCTGCGAGGTGGGAGTATCTCGGACAGGGAGCGGGAGGACCACCGTCTCCTGGGTCACGGGGATGACCTCCTCGTCCGCCCCTTGCTGGCCCAGGTGCTGTTTGGCATAGTCAAAGCCTTGCACAGGCTGCAAAGAGGAAACAGGTCTGCAGTCACGTTTCTGATAAAGTGTGACTCTAACAGCGGCTTTAGGAGAAGTCGGGCGGGAAAGCGCATGTGTCAGGGTCCTACTTGGCTTTTCAACCAACTGGAGCTCACTCATCTCCATCATAATTTGTCTTTGCAAAAATCAGATTCTGGCTGGATTCCACCAAGCTTCGGACTCTCTATAGAAGACTTCCTCAGAAAAACGAATAGTGAAAACAAGATGCAAATAATGTGCATGAGAACAAACTTCATTTAAGCATTTTAGACTACTAATTTTAAGTCTCTGGAAACAACTAATTAGAAACTCTTAATTGATACGTTAACAGGTCCTGTCATCTCCTACCTAGGAATATTCCATCATCCCTTAACTCCTGTCCAATAAAAGGCGTGTGACTTGAAGTCACTTGACTGGCCAAGCAATTAGAACTCTGAGCATCAATTTTCTCATCTGAGAAATGAAGACCATCCTATCTGCTTCACCTCCACCATGCTTCAGTATTGACGGGGAATCACAGATCTGAAAACAGAGGGAGAGAAACATGCCACGCTGTGGCATTCACGGAACCACTATTGAATCCAGAGCACTCCCTTATGCAAGTTGGCTGTTCCATCATTTGCTTCAGAGACATTAGCAAGGCTTTTACTGCATCGTGTCTGAAAGCCCAAGTGACTAGGGCCGCTGTGAGCAAAACCCAGCAGACATCTATTAGTGTGGTAATAAAAAACCAAGAGGCCCCTTTAAACAATTCCTGGGAGTGTCGCCACCCTGTTCTACACTCCAAAGGAGCACAATACACATGTGAAGCAGGACAATGGGGTGGTTAGTAGCGATAGCTCCGAAATCAGACTGTCTGGGTTTAATTCCGACTCTGCCACCTATTAGCTGGGAGACCTTGGGTAAGTTACTGAGATTCCCCGCAGATCAATTTCCTCATTGGCAAAATGGAGAGAGTAACAGTGTAAGCAGGATAAAATGTGAGAGTGATATTTAACCATCCTCGAAGGGATGATGGATGGATTAAATAAGTACATTTAAGTCCAGCATTTAGCGAAGTGCCTGGCACATAGTAAGTGCGCAATCAATATTAGCCAATATTGGTTGCCTTGCTACTAAACCTTAGCCCAGATGGAATGGACATCCGTGATTCTCTTCACGAAAATGTGGAGATAAAACTCAATTCCCACCATTTGAGTTCTCACGGAACCGAATTTGATCAGAAGCTCTTCCTTCAGCATCTAATTTAGCTGAGAAATAAAGCAGGAAGGCTCCAGCTACATTTTAACATTCTAGGACTGTGGCCCAACTGGTCAAATCTTACAACCGAATCTCAGAACAGAATGGAGTTTTATTGTTAAATCCAGCAAAGCTTCCTCATTTTAAGTTGTCTATAAAACAGTTTTGCTACAGTCAGCTCCTCCACTTTCCAGGGAAACTCTCTCTGGCCAGTGTGCTCACTCCTCCCTCTTCTGTGAGACACTCACCCTCTGACCCCTGTAGCCTGCCCTTGACAAGCCACTGACATGCTATGCCAGGATCTGGGAATGTTCCTGAACTAGTGTTTGTCTATTCACTTCCCTCCCCGCCCGTGGAGCTACATGAGACGGAAGGGAGCTTTTGGAAGACTGAGAGTGTTCTTAGAAGCTCTTATGACCAACTGGTCACCAATTGCATTCAACTGAAATGTTCCTAGATGCTGACCTCTGCTCTCCAAGTCCGCTGTGTTACTAGCTCCTGCCTTGGTCTCACTGCTTCCATCCTGCTCCTTGGCAGGCCTGCCCTTAACAAGCCACCAAAGGTATCTCCCTTAAACCACGTCAGGTCATTAAAAATGATTCGGCCAAAGCTGGTGTGGCTCAGTGGTAGAGCGTCGGTCTGTGGACTGAAGGGTCCCAGGTTCGATTCCGGTCAGGGGCATGTACCTTGGTTGCGGGCATATCCCCGGTGGGGGGTGTGCAGGAGGCGGCTGGTCGATGTTACTCTCTCATCGACGTTTCTGGCTCTCTATCTCTCTCCCTTCCTCTCTGTAAAAGTCAATAAAATATATTTTTTAAAAAATGATTCGTGGCACCTAATCTCTACGACAAGGCATTCAAGGCCCTTCCCATTCTGGCTGATCTCACCTCCCTAGCCTCATCTCCTGCTGGCCCTTTTTCTGCAATACTCCCAGCCCTCCCCTCCCCCCTAATTATCTATCTATCTATATATATATATTAATTATTGATTAATTATTGATTTTCCACAGAGAGGAAGAGAGAGGGATAGAGAGCTAGAAACGTCGATGAGAGAGAAACATCGACCAGCTGCCTCCTGCACACCCCCTACTGGGGATGTGCCCGCAACCCATGTACATCCCTTGATAGGAATCGAACCTGGGATCTTTTAGTCCACAGACCGACGCTCTATTCACTGAGCCAAACCGGTTTCTGCCCCCCCTCCCCCAATTATCTTATTTGATTTTGTTCCAGCTATAGTTATTTAGCAGTGGCTTGTGCCAGGGATTGTGCTTGCTGCTGGAGATATAAAAGTGAATAATAACTGTCCTCCTACCCTCAAGAACTTCACAACAGCAGCTTCACTTGCTATTGCGGGTACAGAACCAAACACATGACATACACTAGCCACTTATCCCCACTACACTCAAAGAGGCAGGTATTCTTATGACTCCCCATTTTAAAGATGAAGAAACTGAGGTTCAGAGAGGTTAAGCAGCTACCCAGGCTCACATAGCTGGTTCTGTGGAGCCAGAGCCGAATACTTAACCACTGCTGATGGCTCTCCCACAGCCTCTCCTTTCCTCCCACAGCCTGCCATCTCGGTGGGACATCTCCTCCTATACTTGGCCTTGCTCCTGTGCTGAGACTCCCGGCATGTCAGTGAGTAGCTGGGAGTCTCCTCCAATGGCAGCCAAGACTTCCCAAGAACCGAGTGAGGAGGACAAGCTGTCTCTGGCCCTCTAACTCGACCCCCAGCTCTCTCTGGATTTGGCTCCTCACCCTTCACGTTGGGTGAAGTTCCCTCCTGGGTCTGGGCTGGTAACAGGTAAGCAGAAATAAAGACATTAAAGGATGACAAGCTTAAGAGGTGGTCTTAGTTATTAGGTTAATAACAGCCCCTGCATATGTTCAGTACTGAGAGCCTGCAAAACGCTGGCACCTTCCTCTGTCCTCACAGGATCCCATGAAGTAAGCAGGGCGAACACCACAGTCTTCATTTTACACGTAGGAAAACAAAAGCTTGAAGAGGTTCAGTAACTTGCTCAAGATCACACAGCTAATCGGTGAACGACTCCTAGTCCCTTACTTTTCTGACTGACAGGGGAGTGGTTCTTACAACCCCCAACAGAGAAACTGCCCGAGATGAATTGCCCATTAGATACAACTAGTGGTCCCCAACCCCTTCAATACATCATCTTGAAGTCTTTATAGTTTCTTCACTGAATTTTATAAAACTATCCCATCTCTAACAATTCCAAAAGTAGACACGTTACCCAGATATGTTAAGTAGAAAGCACTGTCATAATAAAAGCCAACTGGTACATCCTATTTATTATATACCAGGCACAGCTCAAAGTAATGTACATAACTCAATCCTCACAACAACCTACCATCCTCCTTCCGCAGATGGGGAAACGGAGGCACAAAGAGGTTAAGTCCAGGTCATACAGAGAGTATGTGAGAGCGAGGAAAGTTGGGCATCTTTGGGGGTGACTGACCTGACCTGAGCAGATGACCATGCCAACCAGTGCAGGCCCTCCAAGCTCCTGGATACAGCCCTGCCTAGTGCCTCCTAAGGTTGCCTGTCCCTCAGCATTCTACCTGCAAAAGCCCAGTTGACAACAATGGAAATGGGTCTGTCTCTGAAGAAGGGCACGGGCCTCCACACCTGGCCTCCGCTCCCAGGACAGCCACATCACCTCCTCTTAGCACAGAGTCTCTGCCAGGATCCCCCGCACCCTCTGGCACTGTGGCCTGCGTCCTAAAGACGCAGTGATGTCTAGGAGACTGGGAGCCCACCCTCCCAGTCTGTGGATTGGAGGCAAAGGCTAACTTTCTCACTGCACCTCATCCCTTGTCATGGAATGCACTCTGCTCACACACAGGTCATGGGAAGCAGTGCAGGTGGCTCTCCTCTTGCACACACTGCGGTGCTGCTGGGTCGCCGGGGCTGAAGAATGCAGTAAGAAAGAGTCACAACCCCTGGTCCACGGGATCGACCTTGACCAAAGGGCTTCAGCCATTCAAGGACATAGTCCAGCCTCATTATGGGAGAAAACAGCCAGCATCACCACACACAAGTGAATTCAATCATCTCGTGCAACAGAGAATTGCTTGACTTTCCACATCAGCACAGTGACCAGGTAGGAACATAGAGGGGCCCAATCTGTTCCCACTTCAGATGGCTTACAAGTCAAAAGGTCTGCTGAGGTCATGTGCCGGCCAACTCCTCTTGGCAAATTGATAACATTTTGGCTTCTCCTATAACACAAAGGCGGCATCTACGACCTCAGTGTGGCATGCTTTGTATCTCTGGGCTGGGCTGCAGTTACGTTCTGGTGATTACTGCTGTGTCTGAGAGGCTCGGGTTGTCAGTAAGCTCAGATGGAAATGAAGTACCCCTGCTTGGAACAGTTTCCTCTTTCATGGCTTGGATCATTACCAACATTGTGATGCATCTGGGAAGCAGCTTGCTTTGTGTCAACAGAATCAGAACAGCATTCTTCGGGGTTTGGCTCTTCGGTATCAGGGAGTCTACTCGGGCTGCAGCTTCTCAACGAGGGAAGTGGTTTAATAAATAATCAAATTCATTTGATTTCTCTGGCTGACGTGAGGGGTGATCACCCAGAAAGAATGAGGCATGTGTGACTCCCAGCAAGAATGAGCTCCAGGACATGCATTCCAGTGGATATGCAATTCCATCCACCGCCTCATTACTGTGAGCTCAGAGCTAGAAGGGGATTCTACCTGTCAAAGCTCAGGGTTCAGAGAAGTGTATAAAGTAAAAGAGCCCAAAGACTCAGACATGGGCCTCAGTCGTCCCTCTGCTGAGAGTTATGTGATTTTGGACAAGTCCCTCAGTTAAAAATAAATAAATAAATAAATAAATAAATAAATAAATAAATAAATAAATAAAATATTTATTTACTATTATTTTATATACTATCAATATTATTATAATAAATGATAATTTATTATTATTATTTTATAATATACATTTATTTCAGAGAGGAAGGGAGAGGGAGAGAGAAACAGGAACATCAATGATGAGAATCATTGATCAGTTGCCTCCTGCATGCTCCACCCTGAGGATCAAGCCTGCAACCCGGGCACATGCCCTGACTGGTTCATAGGCCTATGCTGAACCACTGAGCCACACTGGCTGGGCCCCCACAGTCTCTCTTTAGCGATAAGATAAAACCTTCCCTGACTACCACCTACCTCATAGGGTTGCTATGGTGAGCAAGCGAGGTGCCGGACCTAGAAGAGCCCCACAAGTTTTAGGACATTATTTAAATCGGGGATGAAGGCTATTAGGTTTCCTTCACAGAATTATCATGGAGGGAGCTATGTGACTGGAAAATTAGCCTTTGGAATATCCTCCATCCGCTTCCCTTCCAGTGAGCAGAGTGCCGGGGCAGGCCTGCGGAGGCTGGGAGAGTGGATGGGGCTCCAGCCAGGCTTCACTGGAGCCACTGGAGTTTGATAGCGGACTGGCCCAGGCTCTGCAGCTTGCCCATCACAGCAGCCTCTGAGGAGAAGCCGCTCTGGCCAATGGACGAAGGAACATTTTGGGGGGTTTAAGGTGCCCCCAAAGAGCTGTGTATTATGAGCCAAGAGACCTAATTCTACCCGTTCTGCTACTTACTAACTGTGCGATCTTGAAGGAGTCCCATCTTTGTAAAAAGGGGTGTCAGAGACGAGGTCTACCTAGATTTCTGTGCCTCCACTTCCTCCTCTGCAAAACAAGGGCCCTTCTGCCAGGGTTGCTGCAGGATTGAGCTGTTCTACGTAAAGCACTGATGGCGAAGACTGAGCAGGAGATACGCATTAGCTATCGTGTCCTGATTATAAAATGAAAGGGTGTGCAACGAAGTAACTCTACGTAACGACACTTAAAAATGGCCACAATGGTACATTTTGTTATGCACATTTCCCCATACATTTTTAAAACATGAAAACACGTAAATTAACGCATAAAGGGTCTTCTTCAAAAGCCGGGCTGGTTAGGATGTTTCTGAAGGCACTTCCATGTCTCCAAGGCCAGGAGAGGAAAGACAGGCGGAGCCGCCCTGCAGGCCGGGCTCCTGCCGCCCCCCGCCCCGTGTGCACCGCGTACCTTTGCTCTCTGGGGCAGGTTCATCACAGCGTCCGGCTTGAAGTCATTCTTGTTCTTCCGGCAGAGCACGGCCGTGATGATGATGATGATGACCGTGACCACGGCGATGGGCGCCAGCACCGCGGCGATGATCCACAGGTTGTTGGGCGGGTTCTTCACCACAGCTGCGGGGAGAGCCAGCGGGAAGCACGTGACAAGGAGCACTGGGAAGAGAGAGGCCACCGGAGAGAAGTCTCCCCCTAACCCCCAGTCCCAAGTCGTGGGATGGTTACGAGGATTTAAGATCAGGAAGACTCTTGCCTTGGGCAAGGGACTCAAGGTCTCTGAGTCTCAGTTTCCTCATCTGTAAAATGGGGCTATCACATTGAGAGGTGTCAGAAAGATGAGACACATGTGGTGCTTTGGTAGCTGCTCAATAAAATGCTGGTCTTCACTATGACTAGGAGGAGGAGGAAGATGGAGACATATCATTTTCCTCACCGGTGATGCCCATGAATCAAAAGAGAAGAGGAATACATCTGAGCATAAGAGTAGTGCTGGAATCAGGAGGCAAAGGCCACAGAGAGATGACTCTCAGTACTGTTGTGAACGCACCCTCTGAGTGAGCAATGATTAAAGTGTAACCAGTGGAAACCTCCCTTCCACCTTCCCAAATGGCTGGCTGGGGAAACTTGGAAATGCTTCCATCTAGTCAAAAGGATCCGGCTGGCTGGCTGGTGTGGCTCAGTGGTTGAGCATCAATCTATAAACCAGGAGGTCAGGGTTCGATTCCTGGTCAGGGCACATATCTGGGTTGCAGGAGGCAGTCGATCAATGATTCTCTCTGATCATTGATGTTTTTATCTCCTTCTCCCTTCCTCTCTCTGAAATATATATATATATATATATAAAAAATATTTTAAAGTTGGATGACAATCTAAATGAATCACCTTTACTGCTGTTGCAATTTGGCTTCATCCCATGCAGATTTTCATACAGGATAGAGTAATGGGCAGTTAAAAGGAGAAATACCCTCTTCTTAATAGTTCTAATCCATATTTTAAACAGACATACTGCCAATCTGCTTTCTATATGAATTTCTTGGCAATCTAGTTGGCATGAATTGACCCTCCTGATCCTGCTGAGGACCAGACTCTGGAATATAAAGACCCGGCTGATAAGTGCCCCTGGTGAGGCCCACCCAGGGAGCCAGCCCGCCTGTCTCTCTGACTGTAACCACCCCCTAACTTCAACTGGTGTCGTGTTGGCCAAGATCTCTTACCAGCCAGCCCTTAGCTCTGAAGTGCTGTTAGCACAAAAGAACTTCTTTCCCCCAGTTTCTGTCAATCGGTGATTAATCACATTATTAACTTCTGAAAACAGCTCATTAGATAATGTGCTTCTGTTGACATTAAACATTTCATTGCTGCCGCTTTTAGTAATTTGACATTTATAGTTTTATGCCTTGAACATTTGTTAAAGCTTAGACCCACTGTTAAAAACACCAACAGGCCTCTTTTTGGGCTGTGCTATTCTATCCCGATAAAGAAAAGTGCATTAGAGTATGATGCGCCAAATATACATCTAATTTTTTTCATTAGCAGGAATGAAATATTGACATGTGTTCAGCTTTTACTCAGCCTTATGGTTTTGGTGGATATGTTCCTTCCCAAAGCAGTCTGTAAAATCCTCTCACCTCTATTTAAACGAGGAGAGAATTGATTTATCTTATGTACATTAATAAATTGATTTAACAATCAAAGAGACGGTAAAGTGAGGTCAACTGAAGTCTCCCAAACACAATATATTCATTGGCATAATGATCTAGAACTACAAAGTCATGCACAGAGGTGAAAAGAAACAAATGGTTGTTTAACTTGCAAGAACTGCAGTAGAGAAGGACAGGAAAAGGAGACAACATGCTGAGCCTCTGCTGTGCGTTAGGCACTGTGCTAGGACCTTGACCTGGGGCTGTTCTTACCCCCAACTTGCAGGTGAGCAAACTGAGTCCTAAGGGGTTAGGTGCTTTTATGAAAAATCATTTCCCTGCAGAAACCGGTTTGGCTCAGTGGATAGAGCGTCAGCCTGCGGACTGAAGGGTCCCGGGTTCAATTCCGGTCAAGGGCATGTACCTTGGTTGCAGGCACATCCCCAGTAGGGGGTGTGCAAGAGGCAGTTGGTCGATGTTTCTCTCTCATCGTTTCTAACTCTCTATCCCTCTCAATTCCTCTCTATGTAAAATCAATAATATATATGAAATTATCCATAAATGGGTGTTGTTTAAAAAAAAAGAAAAAGAAAAATCATTTTCCTGAGATACACAGGTGAAGTCACTTCTGAGTTCACACACACACACACACACACACACACACACACGTATTTGTCAGAAAGAATGAAGTCCAAGAGTCCACATAATCTCAACTAAAAATAAATTATTCTTACACGGAACAAGTGTTGAAAGGAGAAGAAATCTATTCAAAAATGTCTCCTGCTCATTTTTTGTGGCTGTGAAAGCTCATGCTGGTGTGAGTGGATGAGGAGGAGGGCCTAGCTCAGGGCCCACCAGCTGTGAGTGCTCTGTCCATGTTGCTCTCCTGCCCAAACCACCCCACGGCCGTCATTCTGCTCGGGGTGTGGCCCACAAGGCTCTTGTTCACATTGCGGGCTGATTTCAAAACCATGAGGAGAAAACTGGACTTAGAACATCTCTGTTCCTCTCTTCTCACTGGCCTCAGCTTCTTCCTCATCCAATCCGGGCACGGAGGCATTCCCCAGGGTCTGCCCTCTAGGTGTTCTCTCCCCATGCACTCGGCTTGTCTCTGGGATTCTAACTCTCTCCTCTATCTGTGACATTCTCAAATCTAGTGTTACCTTTAACCTCTCTCCTGCGATCCAGGCTTGAATTCCAACTTTCTTAACTTCAGCCGTCAATATCCCATCAATACCCTCTCAATATTTTATCAGCACCTCCTCGATACCCCCGAAGCACCCCTTAACATCTCATTACTTTAAACTCAACGTGGCCCAGACAGAATAAATTACCTTTCCCTTCTAAAAATGCGTTCCTCCTCCAATCCCTTTTCTACTTTCATTAACAGCTCCCTGTTCCATGAAGTATATTGGTTCTTAACCTTCAAATCTCCTTTCCATCTTCATGCCCTCTCTCCATTAGTCCTTCTATTTTATGGATAAATGAGACATTCAGCTACCACTGAGTAAGTGCTTAGTAGGATTGTACTAAGCCCTTTCCATGTAATAATTCTCTCATTTAGTCCTCTGAGTAGCTCTACTAGGTCTGTTTTCTATGTTATCCCTTTACAGAGAAGGAAAATGGAGGTCAGGGAGGATCATTCATTGGTCTCTGACTCTATGGCGACAAAGTAGAAGAGCAGCGGGAGGGGTGAATCCAGGTCTGTCTTCCTAAAAAGGCTCTGCTCGCAACTGCTCTGCATTGGTGTCTTCCAACTGTGTGCCTCCCTCAGGGCCTGGCACAGCATTTAGCAAAGGCTGGGTTTTTTTTTGTTGTTGTTGTTTTTTTTTGCCATTACAAGAACAGTGCTAGACAGCGTGGGGGCTGGATCTCCAAAGATAAAGGAGATGTTGCAGCTGCTTTTAAAGAGAGAGAGAGAGAGCAACAACAACTTGTTTGCTCAATGGGATGAGAGCAATGGAAGCCCCTAGAACTAGGAAAGATTGGGGGGAGGGGGCTCTGCTTCATGGGCCGAGCAAAGCTTTAGAGGAATCAGGAGAGTGAGGGATGGATGCTCCTGTGTGGTTGAAGCATTAGGCAGGAAGGAGAGAAAAGTAGGCGGAAACCAGGTTGGGAAGGGAGCTGGACACTGGTGCAATGCCTGCTGTGAAGGGCTTGGGAGACCGCTGTTTCAGAGTCTGGATTTTTAATGGAGTAGGTGTAAGATCACAACCTGTGTTTTCCAAAGTATAGATAGTGACTCTAATTGCAGTGTGGACGGTGCATTCACGACAAAGCGACTGAGGCTGAGTTTGTGGGAAACACCTGCTAAGTCCGAGAGGACATAGCTATGAAAGGAGAAAAGGAGAGAGAAGTGTGAGTTACTGCAGAAGGGAACTGAGAGGACCACGTGGGGAGACAAAGAAGCAAGACTGAGGGACAGCAACATGGGAGCCAGGTTAGCAGGGTCGGGAGCCTGGCTCTCGGAGTCGAAACACACCTCTGGGCACCCCCCTAGATGGCTCCTGGACTCTCACTTCCAAAAGGTTTCACGCATCTTCTACTCGGATACGATCTCTCTCCCACCTGTGCTTTCACACCTCCCACGGCTCCTCTTCAACCGCGTCAGCCAAGTCCCCTTCGCCTCCACCCTCCCCCTGACACTCCCTTCATCTCTGCTCTCCATAAAGCCAGTTCTTGTTTTTCTGCCCCTTCCCAAGGCCTTCATCAGCAATGAGGAGGCCACAGCACTGAGAGGTCAAAGTAGAGGATGGACGAGGACAGGAGAAGCGATGCAGAAGAGACAAGACAGATAAAAATTTGTCAATACCCTCATCCTCTCCCCCCGCCCCCCCAGTATCTTGTGTCCATTGGTTATGCTTATATGCATGCATGCAACAGGGGATAGGGGAGGCTGGGGGAAGGTCAATGGGGGGAGAAAAAAGGATATGTGTACTACTATGTGTAATACTTTAAACAATTAAATAAAAATAAAAATAAAAAATCTCCAGTAAATGAACCACATTATGTATAGTCTCCTTCCCCGGCCCACCAAGGCCGGACTCTCTGAAGCAGTACGTGTCTCCAAGGCCATCAACTCCTCCCCAGGTGTCTGCACTCCAGGCTGTTTGAACGCCTTGCTTTGCAAGCACACCTGGTGCTTTTCACTTCCATTCTTTCTCTCACGCTGCTCCCTCTTTCTGGAAAACACACCCTTCCTCTCTCTCTGCGGAAACCTCAGCGAAGGATCGTTAAGAACACACGTTTGCAGTCAGACAGATTCATATCTTGGCGACCTCGGTACTAGTTCTGCAGCACTGACCACGTTAGTTAACGTTTCTGAGCCTCGGTTTCCTCATCGGTAACTTGCAGCTGAATAAAGTTGTCCCAATGAGAGGGAAAAGTGGGAACGTCTACATAAAGCACATGTGTCAAACACAAGGCCCTCGGGCCAAATCCGTCCCGCCAGGCCTTGCAATGTCATCACTGCACTCCGCTGCGTTCCCATCACAATGACAGTTTATGACTGTTCAGTAAACCATTCGGCCCGCGATTTAGGCTGGATTTTAGATTTTGGCCCCTTCTCTGATTGAGTTCGACACCCCTAATATAAAGCAATGAAAACAGCAGCTGCCCCTTAGACGGTCTGGCTCAGTGGATAGAGCGTAGGCCTGAAGACCAAAGGGCCCCGGGGTTCTGTTCCGGTCAAGGGCACGTGCCTGGGTTGTGGGCTCAATCTCTAGTAGGGGGCCTGCAGGGAGCAGCTGATTAATGATTTTCTCTCATCATTGATGTTTCTATCTCTCTCTCCCTCTCCCTTCCTCTCTGAAATCAATAAAAATATATTTTAAAAGAAAATAGCAGCTGCCACAGGGGAAGGTATTCAAAGAGGCAGCTATTATTTTTAATTTCCCTTCTCTGTTCACTCTTTTCAGAAGTCCCTTCAGAGCAAACCTCCCTGGGTTGACCCCAGCATCATACTGCCCCCTTGTATAAGGTGACCAGACATCCCACTTTTGGTTGGACAGTCCCGATTTTTAACAATTTGTCCCGCGTCCTGTGGTGTTTTAAAATTTAAAACGCAGTGGGACACGGGACAAATTATTAAAAATCGAGACTGTCCTGCCAAAAACAGGACGTCTGGTCACCTTACCCTTGTAGTGCTTTCCTGCAGTCCACACCTTCATATCCTGCATCAGCTCCCTCTCTGCTCCTTGAAGGCAGAGCCCATTTCTGTGTCTTCCAGAACCAACGCAGCTCCTGTAGGACTCTACAGATAGGTACTTAGTGAATCAGATTATCTTCAATTCCCCAGCAGACGACTCCGATCCCAGCTCTGGTGATTTCCCCGGCTATTCCCCGAGGAGGAAGAGTGGGTACATTTGGGTGTAGCAATATCATTACTCTCTTTCCAATACGGAAAACATGTCCCTTACCCAAAACCTACTGCTTCAACCACAGCTGACTGATTTAAACACCTTCTATACAGAAATGTTTCTCTCTGGGCCCGTTCGCAGGAGCTTAGGGAATCCCTTTCATTCGCAGGAAACATTTAACGGCGCTAAAAATAACAAATGGAAGGAAAGACTATCCCCTTACGGTCAGCTTGCAGGAGGACAACGTGATGCAAGGTCAAGGCCATCCTTTGGGAGTCAATGGTGCTCAGGATCTTGGCGGCCGCGGTCCCCAGCAAAGGCTTTCCATTGTACAGGGTGTAGTAAGTCAGCTCCGCGGGGTCCTTGGGTCCCGGCACACGCTGCATCTTCACCATCTTTTGGGAAAAAAGAGGCCATGCTTATAGGGCATCCTGCACAGACACTACAATCCCTCGGGTGATCAGCAGGCTCTCTCCGGACTGCTGGAGCCTTCCGAGGCCGAGTGGACCCCCCGTGTGCATTTGAGACACCAACCTTAACGTGCCTCCCTGTCACCAAACCCGCAAGAAGCCCCGCTGTAGCTGGCAGGGGAGGCGGGGAGCAGGAAATATGAACATCTGGGCAGCACAGTTTGAGGCTGCAGAAGCAAACGCTGAAATGGAGATGTCTCCCAGGCTCCAGAGAGCACTGGCCTCATTTGAAAATAGGCCTGTGCATTGATTTAGGGCATGTCAGGTTATCTCTCAAGCAAGATTTCTAATTCCTGCAAAATTACACTACATTAGCACAGCGTTAGTAATATTATTATACTTAAAATCCTTCTTTCTTGAAATACTGATTTTTATTGCATGTAATACTATTATACTTAAAATCGTTTTTCTTGAAATATTAATGTGGATTGCATTATTAGAGTTAAAATCGTTTTTCTTAAAAAAATAAATAAGAGTTAGGGGGGAAAACAACCACAAAACAAAGACAAAAACATAAATTCCTGCAATTGCCAGAGAGGGGTGGGGAATGAACTTCTATGCCTGCAATTCAAAAGATCAATGATAAAAATAGTAGCTGGAGACTCAAAGTTCTTTTTCTAAAATAACCTTTGTTGCTTTTTTCCCACTGTACAAGTTATGCATATTCACTATAGAAAATCTGAAAACACAGAAAAGAATCCAGAAATAAAACAAAATTAAAACAACCTATACTTCCTCCATCACAAGCTAATGACTATTTTCATTTTGGAGTATTTGCTTCTATTCTTTGTTTTCTCCCACACAAATCTTTTATTTATTATTTTACAAAATTATTTATAGCACTCTCTCTATAGTATAACATATTGCTGTTTTTACTTGTCTCTTTAAATGACCTTAAATATAACAAAAGCATAAATGTCAATTCCTACATTCTAACTCAGACCTCATAAATTTATTTAGCAAATCCTTTCTTGCTAAACAATTAAATTGTTACTCATTTTCCAGCACTGTGATTAACAACTGGAAATCATTACAAATACATAAAACATACATTTTAATACTGACATAATGTTCTACTGTATGTGTGCCTCATACACGTAACTAACCTTCATTTTTGAACACTTCGGTTGCTACCAAATTTTCACTATTACAATGAACAACTAACAGACATTATGGTACAGTATAGTGTCTTTCCAAAGTATATATACCAATTATGAGTTTTATAGGATATTGAAAGATATTACAAAAATGTTTACAACAGCACTGTTAAGAGCAAAAAAACTAAAAAGTCAAAATTTACTAATAGTAGAATGGATATTCTACTATTCTAGTATAGGATAGTCACATAATGAAATGTTATAGAGCAATATGAATGAATTCTGGCTATTTGTATCAATTTGGCTGAATACAAAAGTCTGACATTGAGCAAAAACAAAACAAAATAAAAACTCATCCAAAACAAAAATCAAATCACAGAATATAAAATTCAAAAACAGGCAAAATCAAATGACGTACTGTCTGGGGAAACACATGATTGGTGAAATATGTACAGAAAGTACAGGTACAGTCAATTCTGATATAATGAAAGGAAATGAGTACAGTAAAAGACGACACATAAAAAGCTCCACCAGTAAGCTAAGAACAAAGTTCTCATCCTTTTGGTCATGGGTTCTTTATATTCGTGGTCTTTAAACTCTGCATATTTTTATACCCCTTGGTATATATGCTATATATAACAATTAGAAATAGATATCACTACAACCCAATAACAATGGGTTTAAAAAACTCTGGACAATTCACAAAGCAAGATAGACAATGAGTATATTTAAAAAATGCTCAGTGGGGACCCACTGCTCTCACCCTTTGTCTCCGTGTTTACCTCTACCTTCAAAATGAGTCCCTATGAGTAAGTTTGTGACCATCTAAAACAGTGGTTCTCAACCTTCCTAATGCCATGACCCTTTAATACAGTTCCTCATGTTGTGGTGACCCCCAACCATAAAATTATTTTCGTTGCTACTTTATGACTGTGATTTTGCTACTATTAATGAATCATAATGTAAATATCTGTGTTTTCTGATGGTCTTAGGCTCTATAGCAGCGGTTCTCAATCCGTGGGTCAAGACCCCTTTCACAGGGGTCGCTTAAGACCATCGGGTCACCTAAAACCATCGGGTCACCTAAGACCATCATGACCCATAGGTTGAGAACCACTAGCAGGGCCGCCTAAGACCATCGGAAAACACAGATATTTACATTAGGATTCGTAACAGTAGCAAAATTAGTTATGAAGTAGCAACGAAATATACTGATAGAGAAATATCTTTAAATTCTAGACCTCTAAATCTCCATATTCATGAACGTGGCCCATCTTTTAAAATAATCAGATCCCAAAAGGAAGGCCTCTCTGTGTGGAAGGATGGTGTCAGATACGTAGAGTGAATTTTACTTGGGAAACGTGGGCACGTTATTCCTGTCCCTCATGGGAGAGGTGGGGAGAGTGTCAGTACAACCAGTGAGAAGGTGGATGAGCTTTCAGATATCTAATAACTTCACTGCATTCCAGTTTCTTAGCAAATCCTTCTTTGCAAGATTTCTCCAAGGGTAATGCTAGAAGGGGCTCTACAGCCCCTGCAAATGAGGGATCTGCAGAAATCAATCCCCACTTGCTTCGCTCAGACTTTTCGGGCGAATAGAGTGGCCAAGCACACTCAGAAGGGAGAGAAGCACGTCTCACTGGGATCCCTTTCAACACAGAAAATGCTATTAGGTTGTTAGCTTTCCTAATCACACCAAGACTGTAAGGTGTGACTAGGAAATAATTTGCCTCCCGCTTCAGCGGAGGCAAGTCCCACGTCACTGTCCTCGGAGCAACTTCCTTTCTGCTGTTCGGAGAAGTGTGAATTACAGGGCTCATGGAACCCGCAGAGGGGAAATCACCAGCCGGGCGAGCGAAATCAACCGTCTCGCTTTACCTCGAACCAGGCTGTCACAGGCCACAAAACTTTTAGAAGCAAAGCCACAACCAATAGGACAAGAGACCGAAGTCACCCACTGTGAACGCCAGGCCTGGATTGGCCCTCGGGGGCACAGCTGACTCCACAGGAGAGGGACTCTTTGTACGTACAGACTGCCTGGGGCATGACCTGCAGGCAGATTGTGGTCATACTGCAACTTCCTTTCAAACGCTTCCTCCTCGCTTCCTGACAGACAGTGCAATGCCATACATGTATGTTTGGGTTAACTTACTTCCTTGCTTCCTGGCAAACAGTGCTGATGCCATGCATGTACGTTTGGGTTAACTTACACCCACCGATTGGTGAACTGCCAATCAGGAGTTCACACCCCAGGGCTGTGGGCTAGATTCCAATGGGGAATTCCACCCGGGAGGCAGCTACTGAGGGTTCCCTTTTGTAATGTGTTACTTTGCTCACAAATGTCAGAAATGGGTTCTCCTTGGGTGAAATGAGGGCTATGCAAGGCAAGAGAATTGGCTAGAATACACTAGAGAGTCTCACTCTCGCTTGAACCAGGTAAGGAATCTAAAGGCTTAGAGTCTCTATTTTGGGAATGGCCACTGTCTGCTCCTAGGGTCCCGAGAAATAGACTCAGAAGAGTTGAGTGTTTATAGTTTATTTGAGAGCTGAGCTAAAAGGAACTGGCAAGAAGGTGAATAGGTGATATGGCGGGGGGAGGGGGGGGAGGGAAGAGGGGGGGAGGGGCTAAAAAGGGTGTTATTAAGCCAGTTGCCACAGTGGGTAATGAACGCTTAATTCTGTGGGAAAGCTCTGGAAGTGATGGAAAAGATACATTTCAGAATTCTCCTAGCTAGGAGACCAGGAAGCTGAGGTATTTATACCCCAGCCCAAAGGTTAATTAATTCCCAGGCACTTCCAGCCCCGTGGTGTGGGCTACGTGGGTTCCTGCATCTCAAGAGCAATCTATAATAATAAAAGCGTAATATGCTAATTAGGCCAGAGGTCCTTCAGACGAAGGCAGGGCTGCAAGGGAAGCCAGTCTGGGTGCCAGAGAAAAGCCGGTGCCTGCAGCTGGGGGAAGGAAGGCCTACTCTTGCACGAATTTCGTGCACTGAGCCTCTAGTCCTTCGGTAAAGGTTCAGAGGTGGCTGCTGGCACTGATAGAAATGGAAAAGGGATCTGGGCAGAGCACCAACAGCATCTGCTACGGCTCCTTAGCCTAAATCCCTGTGTGGCCATGTGTCCGTTATAATCCTGGGAGGCTCTGCTTGTCCAAATTGACTAAATAAGGAAAACAGAACCGGCACCTGGAATGCCCATGGGTGCACCTGCCCTTCACAGCGGTGGTGGTGAGAGGGCCTGGGAGTCCCGAGAGCTGGGACTTCATCCAGCCCCCGGAGCAGGCTGCTGAGTAGCCTGTGCCTGCTTCCTTACAACTTTCTGTGGGAGAAACATCCGCGTGCCTGCCGACAGTTCCGAAACCTCCTTTCCTTATCCTCTAGTAGTGAGAGCAGCTAACTCTCACCCGTCATTTTGATGTCATGACCCCTGACCTCACACCCTAAGAGCAGCGTTGATTAAATGGCTCAGTCGGTCTGCAGTGCCCCTGCTCCTCTGCACGTAGCATGATGACTTAGACTCAGGCAGCACATCCCCTCTCCCCCAGGTACTAGAGGACCCCAGAGGCTTCGCGAACACCCACCTGCACGGTGTAGCTTCCCAGGGTGGTGGCCCGTTTAAACCGCCGGCCTTGCTGCTGGGACATCATGAACAGCTGGGCCAGGCGCTGCTCCATGACCCGGGCGAAGCTCTGGTTGTGCAGACCCACCAGCGAATTGTCCACGCCCTGCAGCACTGCGGGGAGGGGCAGAAGGCAGAGGGGTTACTCAGCGGACAGGCCCCCTGCTGACTCAGAACCACAACCGCCTCCATCGCTGCCCCAGCCACAAGGCACCCCATGTGAGGGCTTGGCCATCTTGACCTCACTTTGCTCTCAACCACAGCCCCAGGAGGTGGGAATCGCTATCCACGTGTTATAGATGCTGGAAGGTTAAGTGACTTGTCCAGGTCACAGCTAGTGACTAGAAAAGTGAGCGTCCAAACCCAAACAAAGCCCGGACTCTCTCCTCCGTGGGCTGAGACGCGTCTAACGCTGCTGAAGTAAATCCAAAACTTATTGAAGATTACGTGTTGTTAGAGTCCATAAGGGAACCCGGCCTAGATACAGGTCTGGCTAGCTGGATTTTCTGCTGGTTCCCACTCAGAAAAGCTCAGGCTCCAGGCTACCCTTATTTTATTTTTCCTCCTCAACAGCTTTGCTGAGGAAGCTAAGCTCCGTCCTGCAAATCGGGCCATTACAACCTGGCATACCGCCCTTTTCCATGTTCTCATCTCTCCCTCCTCTTGGCCACTTTGAGAGCCACCCCAAAGCTGCCCCGGGCCCCTTGGGTACTCTTCCATCTGAGGGCAGGACAGTGGGACAGCAAGAGCGAGCTCTTGCCAGTGTGAAACTTTCAGCAAGCAGCTGGCCCTGTCTGCGTCCGAGTCCTCCTCTGTAGAAAGGGCAGAAGTCCACATCACAGCAACTATATTCCTAAAGAGATCTACGGCTGAAATGAGACCAGGTGTATAAGGGAGCTTAGCACAGTGCCCAGTGCATGGAAGGCACACGAAACTCCTCTTTCCATTGTCCTCCACGCTGAGCTTCATCTACTCCATGGCACCTGCAATCAACAGGTAAGGCATGGAATTCCAGGCCATGGCTGGTGCTGGGGGAAGGCTTTTGATGAACACCAGGGTGAGGACTGCAGTGGTCACTGACTGTGGGAGTGACTGATGGTCTTTTGCTGTCAGCTCCCCAAATCTAGGCTTTCCTCCAAGTCCCTTGAGAAGAACACTTCATCCCAAACACACAAACACTGCCTTCACACACAGCCATCCTTGAAATAAAAAAATGCTAAAAACAATCCTCATCTTAAAGAAACCAAAACGTACGTGGGTTGGGGAGTTTGTCCTACCATGGTCCAGCTAAAGACCGTTAATGTCAGCCATCTACTGGGATACAGACACAGCTTGGTTATAAAGAATGTGCCGTTATGATCGCATTCTGCTCAGGGCCAGAGCAAGCAACGGGCACTGAGCTACAGAGAATTATTTTTAACTGATGGAGAGAGAAGTAAAACCCACAACTGAGACTCAGAAATTACTTCCCTGAGGCCATAAATACCGAATAATCCCCATGGAGGGCATAAAGCCGCTCTCTTTCTAGGGCCCTTGGGAGGGACTCGCAGTTCAGCTGTCAGCGGGATTCCTGCCGACAACGAGAAAACGCTCAGGTGCCGTTCCCACTGGGGCAGGCCCCACAGAGGCCCCTGGGAATCCCCCCCTGACACAGCCTACCCCGGGCCCCAGACAGGAGAGCCCTGCTCTTGCTCATTCAGAGCTGCCCCTCTAGTAAAATCTCATAATCAACTGCTGAAGGGTTACCTCTGAGTTGGCCTTTCCTGACCAATGGGAAGAGTAGGAGAGAGGTCATAGGACACGGAGAACTCCATCATGGGTTGATTACTTTGTGAGAATCCCAGTGACATTGAAGAAAGAGATAGCCAGGTGAAGAAAAAGCTCCAGAAGTAATAGCAGTGACGATGGTACAACGCTGTGAATGTATTTAAATGCCACTGAATTGTACATTTAAAAATGGCCAAAACGGAAATGTTCATGTTGTGTGTATTTTACCACAATTTTAAAAGTTGGGGGTCGGTGGTGGGGGAGGTGTTCCAGGAAAGTGAGGAGGTTGAGGGAACCTCCTACCTGGTGACATGGAATCAGCACCTGGACAGCTCCAATGTGCCTCCTTGTTCTACGCCTAGAGACTGTGTCCTTAGGAGGCAGCTGGGCCTGAAAGTCCCAATGATCAGACCTGGTTCTGTTTCCTGCATTCGATCTGAACTGTTTTATTGGTGGTTGAATCCCACACATTCGGAGCCAGAAGAACCTGAAAGTTCATCTCCTGATTTCTGATTCTAAGGGAGAGAGTGGGACGACCCCAGGGTCTGGGTGACTGGCTCAAGGACACACCCGGTTTGTAGGTAGCAGAGCTGAGGCCAGAAGGAACCCTGCGCTGGCTGGGTCTGGAGCATTTTGCCCCTGATGGGTGAAATAGAGACAGACTTCAAACCTGAGCTGGGCTCTCACCTGTCAGGCAGCAATATTAAGTCTGTACCTCTCCATTCTGCTGGACTGCAAGACACAAGGACAGCAGAGTAGCTCCTGGACTCTCTGTAAGGGTGGGCTGACCACAGGAGTCACCCTCAGCCAATGACTTTCCACCAAAAAGAGACCCGCACTCAGGGAGGGGGGAGACGTATGCAGTGTGCAAATATGTAAGTTCAGTGGGCATACAGAGGAAAACACGGCAGGGTTTTATACTCCAAACTAAATAAAGGAAAGTTGCTCCAGGTTATCGATGGGCAGTAGGGAGGGTGCCCATGATGGCTGTCTGGGAGTGAACGGCAGAGTGGTTGGTTTTTCAGGGGGCTGTGGGTTTGAACAGGATGAACAAAGCTCTCTCCAATCTCCTACCCCTTCTGTAACTAATGGTAAAAGGTTTGTGGTGGCTGCCCATGGCATGAGAAAGAGCCAAAGCAAAGGAAGATCGTTCTGAGCTGGTTTCGGTCCCTTCCCACCGAGCACTAACTGCCCCAACTGCCCCAAAAACACAGTGATGGAAGCCACTGTTTCTTCTGATCACCAACAGCCACAGCAGCAACAAGAAATGAGGGTTAGCCGAAACCGGTTTGGCTCAGTGGATAGAGCATTAGCCTGCGGATTGAGGGGTCCCGGGTTTGATTCCAGTCAAGGGCATGTACCCAGTGTGGGTGGAGGGGGGAGTGCAGGAGGCAGCTGATCGATGTTTCTCATCGATGTTTCTAGCTCTCTATCCCTCTCCCTTCCTCTCTGTAAAAAAATCAATAAAATATATTTTTAAAAAGAAAGAAAGAAAATAAGGAAGGAAGGAAGGAAGGAAGGAAGGAAGGGAGGAAGGAAGGAAGGAAGGAAGGAAGGAAGGAAGGAAGGAAGGAAGAAATGAGGGTTACAGAGGTGAGGGTACAGGTGTCAGGCCCCAGGAAGATCCTGAAAACAAGCCCATGTGTGGAGTTTATTAAGGTGAAGTCACTGCAGTAGAGGCACAGGCAAACGAGGGCAGGCTGAACCAGGGGGTCATCTCGGACATCTAGTGTTCGAGAGTGGATGTGCTTCCATTCAATGTAAACCTTCCCGTTAACAGAAGGGGGAAAACCTCTGCACATGAAAAAGCAGCATTTCTGGTGGATTAAAAAAAAATGGTTTTGTGAATGTTACATAACCTGCTGGTTTGGAAAATGTGTTAGCACTGTCTCTCTCTTGGGCATACACTCTGGTGAGGTTTATTTTTTAAAAATTTTAAACACATTTCTTTAGTTTGTCTTAGCAGGTAAAAAAAAAAAAAAAAAAAAAAAAAAAAAAAAAAAAAAAAATCTCTGCATATCCATGGCTCCACAGGAGAGAAAGAAAAGCAGTTTTCTGCAATTTAGGAGAGGTCTCAAGCAGGCCCCCTCGCAAGGCTGTGCTCCTGTGCCTGTGTGTAGGCAGTGGCCCGTCTTGCCTGCGCAGCGTGGGAGGAAGAAACGAGAAGGGAGGAAGTGGAAGGGAGGAAGCGGGTTTTAGATGGGCTTGCTCGCCCAGGCACATCTTCCACAATTTATGGGACCTCACGTCCCCCTTGCTGTGGGCTAGACTGCTTCCTCCCAAAGTTCAGGTGCCGAAGCCCTAACCCCCATTCCCTCAGAAGGCGACTGTACGTGGAGGCAGGTCCTTTAAAGAGGGAACTGAGGTAAAATGAGATCATAGAAGTGGACCCTAATCCACTATGACTGTGTCCTTATAAGAAGAGGAAATTAGGACACAGACACACAGAGAGGGAAGCCAAAAAGAGAGGCCACAAGAGAAATCAACCCTGCTGGTACCTCGATCTTGGACTTACAGCCTCTAGAATCGTTGAAGCCCTGCCACCCCAGTCCGGGGGACCTTCCGTGGCAGCCCTAGCAGGCCACTACCTCCCCCCCTGGCCCTTCCCTTTATGGCTGGCCTGCTCACGTTTCCTCCTAGAAACACCTGCCTTCTCTCTTTGCTGCCAATCCTTGCTTCTTGGCTTTTCAGAACTACTGTAGGGATTTTGAAAAACAAGAACTGTTTTTGCTGTTTCGTAAAGCTCAGCTGGGAAATGTCAAGGGGAAAAAAGAAAATGCCACCCAAACACCCTTCTACTTCCACCCGCCCTCCTCGTCAGGACACGCCTGGGCTCCACAGGACTGGTGTGGGCGTGGGCTTCATGCCCGGGGGGAGCCGCGAGTGCGTGTTGGCATTCCTCTGACTCCCACTGGCGTTCTGTGGGGCAGTGCAGAAAGGCCTCCAGTCTGGACACAGACAACCATTCACACAGACACGCCCTGCACGTCCCCAGGTAAATGATGTTCCTCCCGAGTGGTCCACTTTCTGCAAAGAGGGGGCCACTAGCTGGGCCTTGCAGCTTGCTATTTTGAATGGCTTATCTAATGTTCATCTTCAGGGTGGTGTGTGTGTGTGTGTGTGTGTGTGTGAGAGAGAGAGAGAGAGAGAGAGAGAGAGAGAGAGAGAGAGAGAGAGAGAGAGAGAGAGGGAGAAGAAGAGAGAGAGAGTGTTTTCTTGTTTCAGCTTATTCCACCCACTCTTGGTTCTGTGAAAGTAACTTCCTGACTCATAGGACAATAAAAGGATGCCAATCTTATCACCGAGTAACATGCAGTTTTAATTTTTTAGGTTTTTTTTTCTTTTTGACATGCAGTTTTAAAAAAAACAAAACACAACAACCAACCAACCTGGTAGACTGAAAGGGGAAATAAGAGATTACCTGTAATTACCCAGTAGTCTCTGGTTGTCTCCGATATGTCAAGGTTGGGATATTCCAATGCTAGAACAAGTAAGAAACACATCAAATCACTTTCACGAGTTTTATATGTAAACATTGTTAAGGGACATGGACGTAGGTGACAAAATATGAAGCAGCTGAGTCCTGCTTTATCATCCTGAGGAGCTCCATGCCATGCAGGCCCGAACTGCCTTGCTGTTCAGAAAACGAAAACACTCAGCAAAGAGCTCCCTTTCTGACGAAGAGTTTCTGCTCTTTCAGTTTTTCCATCAAAACCTCTTAAGTGGAACCCGTTCTGTCACTTTCTCTTGTAAAATACCAAACTGGCACTACCATTTTCAGAAATTTTTCTCTCTCGAATGTGTTTTTCCAATGTCAAGGACGAAGTTTAGCAGCCCAGTGCTCGTTAACAAACATCTTTTGACAGGTGCAGTGACCATCAGCATTCATACATGTAAAGGGCTTAGCACAGCACTGGCACACCGTAAGTGCCCAGCAAACCTTAGCTGTTGTGATTATCAAAATATCAAGATGAAAGAAAGTAAATTCTTCACTTGCTGCCAGGTGACATGATACTTTCCTTTATGATACCACCTTTTGCATTAAGCCCAGTTATATTTCCTCACTGTGAGGAAATTCGTAAAAACTTGCTATTAAACAAACGTCCAAAAAAATTTTGGAATGGCTATCCTGTGCTAACACATAGCCACACACATCATCTCCCTTGTTTACACCATTGAAAGCAACCACAGAAGAACGGAAAGGATTTTGCTAATCCTATATAATAAAAGCCTAATATGCTAAATGTCCAGTTGTCCATTCAACCAATCAAAGTGTAGTATGCTAATGATATGCTAAAGTCACTCAACAGCTCACTATGATGTGCACTGACCACCAGGGGGCAGATGGTTGACCAGCTGACCAGTCACTACGATGTGCACTGATCACTAGGGGTTAGACGCTCTGAACGGTAGGTTAGCTTGCTGCTGGGGCCCACCCGGCAGATGGGGACTGAATGAGCGAGAGGGGTTGGACATGCCCTGGAGCCCTCCCGGCCAACCTCCCATGTCCCTCCCCAGCCTCAACTGTGCACTGGTGGGGTCCCTCAACCTGGCCTGCACCCTCTCACAATCTGGGACCCCTTCAGGGAATTTCGGGCCACAGTTTCGGCCCAATCCTGCAGTCCAGGCTGAGGGATCCCACTGGTACACAAATTGGTGCCCCTGGTGGGCCTCTAGTATCTATAACAATAAAAGCAGAATATGCTAATTAGACTGGACATCCTTCCAGATGAAGCCGGCGGTGCACCCAGGGGAAGGAAGGCCTACTCTTCACGAATTTTGTGCATCGGGCCTCTAGTGTGATTTATAAAAAGTCTGCTCAGTGACCTTGGGAAAGGATCAATCATTACATTTAAGAGCACAAATCTTTACTTCCTTTGGGTACCAAGTAAGTGTCTGGAGACAGAATTTAGGCTGCATGGTCTTCAAAGCCTGTGCCTGCTGCATGGCTGCATGTAACTGAGGCATTAATGGAAGACGAGCCACAAGGCTATGGGGACTTCTTCAAGGGAAGCCACGATGCTGATTGCTGGGAAACCAAATCAGTTTCACTGAAAAAGAGATGTTGACAGGAAGCCAGAAAGGCTGGTCAACAACCTTAATTGCTCTAACTTTTAGTTGAGATTTTGTTAGCTGAAGCAGAATCTACCTTGTCCATGAAAGTTTCTGTTATTTCCTGCCTAAGGGCTACATGTAAATTTCTGTTTATGTTGCTTAAGATGTCTTCCCCAAAGCCTCAATAAAAGGGGATGGCAGGGCCAGAGCAGGAGTAGTTCTCCCACTAGTGTTGGACTACCGCCTGGCCCCCCAAATCGCCAAATTGAATTTCTTCAAGTCTCTTTTCATTTGTGTGCGGCCCTTCTCCAGAACCTGAACCCTGAATTGGAACTCTTTCTACGCAGGCCGTGAAAGAGAGTCCTATAGCGGATGGCAAATTAGCTGCACTGATATCTGTAGCCAGGCCCAAAGGCCCCGGGACATCTGCTGATGGTAGGAGCGGGGGAAATTACAGCAATCCGTATCGCCACGAGGGCAAGCGCCCTACCAGGTGGGCTTATAACCTCAGAGGCAGACGGCGTGGGCTCAAATTCCATGCCAGACCAGCCGTGTAAGTGTGGGTGCTCCACTAAACTTAACAAACTTTAGTTTTCTTACCTGCAAAAGGGTGCTAATAATTTTGCACCGGCCTCAGAGGGTGGTTGCAAGGAGTATATGAGAGAAGAGGCATGCAAAGAACAAAGGCACCCAGCCACTGCTGGTTTCCTCAATGTGCAATAATAAATTTGTCGTCAATGCCATCTCCGTGTTATCACATAGTCCAGCTGTTTCACGGCCGAAGACTTCGTGTGCAGCCTGGCACCATGGGTGTTTGCCAAATGGAGAAAGGCCCCCCCGGGGACATGGGCAGGGTCCCGCGTGACGGGGACATACTCACGTTCAGCGATGGAGAGCGGCGGGTAGGTGAGGTAGAACCCCACCAGCTCGGCCGAGAGCTGGCGGAGGAGGCTGCTGGCCATGGTGCCATTGAGGAAGGAGCTTCGGTTGGCCACCGCGTACACCAAGGTGACCGTCTGGGAGGCATTGGACGTGCTCACGATCTGAATGGACACGGGAGGAAAGGGGAGGGAGACATGCCTGATCAGATGGGGGTCTGTTTCAGGGAGGCCGTGGGAGAAGACGTTTCTGAGGGAAATTGAGGGGAGGACTGAGAGGGAGGCGGGGGAAGAGCGAGGAAGAGACAAGAATAACAACGGTGGTCACTCACTGATCGTGGGCTCCGTGCCAGGCATCGTGCGAAGGGCACCTTATCCCATCTAACCCTCACCGCCACCCCAGGAGGTGCATCCAATTAGGATTCCCTTTGGCAGAGGGGGAAACTGAGGCCCGGAAGGACCAGGGGGCTTGCCCAAGGTCACACAGCTAAGAAGTGACAGAGCCAGGATTCACACCTAGGCAGTCTTTGAGGTACTAACCCCTGGTGTGTATTTTCCCCAGGGGCTAGACGGCCTCAGATTGCTCCTACAGCACGGATATGTTCCATTTAAGGAGGACTCACGAGCTCAGATAGAAAAAAAGCTCAAATCAAATTTGGGGGGCCGGTGGGGATTTTCAAGTTGGAAGTTCAGGGAATGTATAAGCCCAGTAACAAATAGTGATAAGAAACAAATTCAGATACATCGATAGCTTCTTTAGAGAGTGATTATGGTTTCTTGCGGCCTATGAGTTCAATATAGGACATGTAAATATAAGCATGAGATGGTGTGTTTTTCTTCTCTCCTTTTGTCCAAGTCGGTTTTTTCGTTACTGGAAAACGAGGTTTTCTGGGTCAGGGTACGGACAAAAATATCCCACAGATGAGATTTGAAAAGCAGATGCAGTAGGAAGTCATTCCACTTCGGGAGGCAGCATCTGTCTGCTCCTTCCTCCTCCCCACCCACGTGCCACCCCCTCTTGTCCTGTTCAGCACCCCCGGAGGCAGACCCCTTGTGGACCAGACCACTCCAGGGGGCTCCTTTGCCCTCTGGCTTTAGCTAGAGGGAGGTCAGTAGGTTGGAACGTCTCCAAAAGGTTGCAGGTTCAATTCCCAGTCAGGGCACATATGGGAGGTAACCAATCGATGTTTCTCTCACATCAATGCTTCTCTCTCTTCCTCTCTCTCAAAAAATAAATTAAAAAAAAAACATTTTAAAAAACATCCTTTTTTTTTTAAGGGAGATCAGGAGGATGTGGAGAGAGGGAGAGTGAGATCAGAGTATTGGTGTTGGGGACTCCCTCCCTGTGGGGTCAAAGCTCCCGATAGGCAGCTAGGGCCTCTGGCTTCCTGTAACTGTTCCTTTCCCTGCCCTCTGAGTCCCAATTGTTCCTGTTTCGGGTACTGCACCGTCCCCATGGTTTCCCCAGTGCCTGTCAGGCTTCTGGGAAGAGTCCCTTCTATTGAATCTCCTCAGATTGTCTTCATTTGAGTGCCCTTTCTTCCGGCCAGGGGCTGGCAGCTCTCCGTCTTTCCCAGACCTCTGTGTGCTCAGACATCTGTGTGCCTGCAACTTTCCTGTAAACCCTACTTTGAAGAAGGTGGTCAAGAATACCTTCTTCTCGTTATTTTCCCCATGCACGGAAGTTCCTTTTAAATTATCTTATATGGTCACAGAGTATATAATATAGTCCCATGACTAATGACCTAGGGCAGTGGTCGGCAAACTCATTAGTCAAAAGAGCCAAATATCAACAGGACAACGATTGACATTTCTTTTGAGAGCCACATTTTTAAAACTTAAACTTCTTCTAACGCCACTTCTTCAAAATAGACTCGCCCAGGCTGTGGTATTTTGTGGAAGAGCCACACTCAAGGGGCCAAAGAGCCGCATATGGCTCTCGAGCTGCAGTTTGCCAACCACGGACTTAGGGAGTCAACATTGCTGGTCAGGTCTTACAACTGTCCTCTCTGCAAGTATTTTTGGAATGTGGTTTTAGCCACAGGTATGCATGCCTCGCTCTCAACTTACCAAAAAAGGAAGGCACTTCCTTCTGAACAATTCAAAAGACCTCTCTGTACTGTCACCCATAAAAGTTACCACTAAAATAACTTTACAGCCTTTATCTCCAACCTTTATCTCTACATGAACATTTTATTTTCTGCTTTTCAACAAAACCCACTGGGTCCCAAACAGCCTGCAGTACAGGTGCCTCTGTGCACACGGTACTTGACCAGGTAATTATAATACCGTTACAATAAGCTGTTCATTAGTAACAGGAAAGTCGTAAAAAGGAGGTTAGAAAACATAGGCATCCCATTTATGCAAGGTTGCCAGAAAGCTGCAGTTAACACTCTCCAAGTCTATCCCCTGCAGATCACTGAGGGAGGGACTGAGCAATAGACACACACCCAGTAAGGTCTGGGTGACGTGGAAGGCGCTTACCTGTCAGTCACACCTGGGAACAAGCCAGTGGCTGGAACAGGTATGGCCACTCGCAAGCTGGAGATTTGCTACTTAAGCTCCTGAACAAAGGGACCCCCCTCTCTTGCTGCTCACACCTGACTCCTGGCTTGCAGGGGCTCCCACACCCTGCATTCACCCACGTGGCTCACGGCCACGTGGGACCCACGCAATAGACTGAATCTGGCCTCATGCTCTCTCAGACCCCCCTCCATGGAATGAAAACTCTGCACACTGGCTTTGCTTTTAGCGCTACAAAAGCCCCAGCTGCTCCGGTTTTAGGACTGAGATAAGGGACATGAAACTTTATACAACCTGAGGAGTGTCACTCCACGAAAATAAGCCTTTTACCACATTTATATCTTCACGGGAGGGTGGGGGGGAACCTCCGGAAATACTCATCCAGCAGCATCCCAAGAATCCAAATCCCACCGCGATGGAGGAATCCCATGTGTATAATCGTCTAATATTCTTACCTTTTTAAGCTAAGAATATTTTTATGGGAGTATAACTGACCTATAACATTATATCCGTCTCATACATTTCTATTGTGGTAACACACATACATTTTACCACGTTAACCATTGTAAGTGTACAGTGTGGTGGCGTTAAGTACATGTACATCGTTGTGCAGCCACCACCAGCAGCCATCCATCGAACAACCACCTCCCATTTCTTCTTCTCACCAGCCCCTAGCAACCACCATTCTACTTTCTGTCTCTATTAATTTGAAAAAATGTAATACCTTTTATAAATGGAGTCATACACTGCTTGTCCTTTTTGTGTCTGACTTATTTCACTGAGCACACTGTCCTCAAGGTTCATGCATGTCATAGCATGTGTCAGAATTAAGTTCCTTTCTTAGGAGGAATAGCATTCCGTCGTATCGATACACCACATTTATTTGTCTGTTCATCTGTGGGTGGACACTTGAGATGCTTCTACCTTCTGGCTGTTGTGAATAATGCTGCTACGAACATGGGGTATACAAATATCTGTTCAAGTCCCTGCTTTCAATTATGTTGGTTATATATCCAGCAGTAGAATCGCTGGGTCATACGGTGATTCTATGTTTAATTTTTTTGAGGAACTGCCAGACAGTTTTCCACGGTAGCCGCGCCATTTGACATGCCAGGTGGTGGGCTCGATTCCCAGAAGGGCGTGGGCAGGAGGCAGCTGATCAATGATGCTTCTCTCATCAATGTTTCTATCTCTCTATCCCTCTCCCTTCTTCCTGCTCTAAAAATCAATAAAAATATATATTTTTAAAAAGTTGTTGATAAACAGCCCTAGCTGGTTTGGTTTAGTGAATAGAGACAATCCACTAAACCAAACCAGCTAGGGCTGAACCAAAAATTCTTAATTGAATCAACTGTAATCTACCCTCTAATATCAACGCTATACAAGTAAAAAAATAATAATAATTTTAAGTTATATTTTCAATAACTTTCTAAACAAACTAATTAAATATTTATGTTGTCTCATTCCACAGAGGATCCAAAGTACTTCACAAATTATATTTAATACAATGAAATGCAAAGTTGTAATTATAAAACCAGGTTCTGGAAAAACAGATTAAAGACAATCCCAGGGGAATGGCTGTCATTCAGCTATCTATGCATGACACAGGGGCTGAGAGAGCTACTAAACCCAGGCAACAACTTGTCTCTGGGCTTCCTGGCGGCCAAGGCAAAAAGAGAAATGAGGTTCACCCAGTTAACCATTCATTCCTAGAGCTATTAAGGAGGAACTATGTCTTCCTTTCGACAATAAAGATTTTTTTAAAGGAGGTATTGCCTGACCAGCATGGCTCAGTGGTTGAGCATCTACCTATGAACCAGGAGGTCAGGTTTCCATTCCTGGTCAGGACACATGCCCAGGTGGTGGACTCGATTCCCAGAAGGGGGGGGGGGGGGGGGGGCAGGAGGCAGCCAATAGTATTCTTCTCTCATTAATGTTTCTATTTCTCTATCCCTCTGCCTTCTTCCCGTTCTAAAAATCAATAAAAACATATTTTAAAAAAGAGCTGTTGATAATCTCAAAGGCATCTAAAAACTATTTAGATACAATTTTCAAATTGCTTGTTGTAGTCTTTTCCAAGAAAGGTCTCTTACTTGCTAAAGCCAAGGACCACTTTCTTATTTCGGTGTCCCTCCCAGTGCCTGATGAATAGCAGGTGCTCACTACGTCTGTGCTTCTGAATAGAGCATGTTCTAGCTCTAAGCAGATTCTACCTATGAAGTTCCAAATGCCATCAGAAACAAAAGCTCTCCCACCAAAGAGCTGAGTCATAGTCCTTACATAAATCTTAAGTCTGTGACACGTTTTTAGATTTTAGTCTAAAATAAACCAAATCATCATGAGACACTTCCACTTTGGATTGATCTAGAAAAGGAAAGCTTCTCATTCAAATTCAATTGAATGCTTTCTACATCAGATTGGCTTTGCTGATAATTCACTTATGCTAAATGTCAATTTCAAAACCACTGAGTTTCATTGCAAAGGCTTTTAGTTTAGAGACATTGGCTAGTTCAGTTAATTAGAGAAATTTGGTGGCTGGATAAATACCATTAAGAAGCATCTGTCTTTAGTGGGATGGTATCCACACAATTGCAAAAAAAAAAAAAAAAAAAAAAAAGGTCTAAGAAAGGCTTCTGATAGCATATCTACTGAAAATCCAGGAAATTGAAATATAGTAAACCAGGAGTGGGATTTTCCTGGAAAATAATCCATGTGTTTGTCAAAAGTTTCACCAAGGACCCCATTTCTACTTTGCATTGATGCCAGTGTAGCCAGTGTGGGCTTTGGCTCAAGTCTTTGTTCTATTTTGTACCAACTATGTGATCTTCTGGAAGTTTCTCACCTTTCTCTCAGTTTCCTCCTCTGAAATGATAATGATAAACCTCAGAAGGAAGTTTTAAGTATTATGTAGCAAAATATTCATTAAATACTTAGCACAGTCCTGGCACATAGGAAGCCCTAAATATATAGGTGTGTGTGTGTGTGTGTGTGTGTGTGTGTGTGTGTGTGTGTGTGTGATGTTAGGTGACTGTTTATGTGGATATTTGGAGAATATCCACATAAACAGTCAATGAAAATCACAGAATAGGCACATCTTAGTGAGTTAGCTATTTAAAAATGATTCATTTTCTATGAGACAGTTGACCTATCTTACATAGCATATTCTAGTTCCGTTTTTAAAAATAAGAAATGTATTGGAAAGGCCTGAGGCATCTTCACGTGGGAAAATAAACATAAAATCCCAAACCACAGCAGGTAAAGAGCGACACAGCACCCATATTCCAGACAGCCTCATCAGTGCAGGACTGACTGGACTCAGGGGCCCCAGAGTGACACTGTGTCCTGCCTACATCACACGCCCAAGTGCAAAGTACCATTCACCCCGGGAAGCTTTGAAACGGGGGACCACGTCACCTCTTGCCAATGTCTATCTGCGTTATGACTGGCCTCTGTCAACCACCAGCTCCAGCGCCCTCCTCACCTGAATCGTCAGGTTGCTCTGGGCGCTCAGCACCTTCCTCTCGGCGTCCTGGAAGGCCTTCTGCAGCCTCTGCTCCATGGTCTGAGCAAACCTGCAGGACTGGATGTTGTCAGACGGGCTCACAAACTGAAGCACTGGAACGAGAGTAATAAATCCACACTCGGGCTCAGTAGCAGTCCTAATATAAAACCACCATGTTTACATCAGAGCAATCAGGCGAGGGAGGAAGACAAGGTTTGGCTGTAGTTTTACTAGGAGGAGTGGCTCTTAGCATGATTGATAACCTAGAAGAATTAAAAAGTGTGATGAGACCCGAGATCCCTTGAAATGCAAAGGGCTTCTGTGATTCCATTTGATTGGAATATGTAGACATCTGCTCCACGATGCTTAAAAAGAATAACCTAAGGCATCCAAATGCCTTCTGCTTCTTTGGAGGGGGGAAATAATCAAGTGGCCTGCATGGCTGAGTTGATGAAGTCTTTCCATTCCAATGGTTTCTCTATCTATGCTTGTGGTTTGGAATCAGCAGGAAGCTTGGAAGAAAGATCCCAAAGACTAAGCTCAGAGATTCTAATTCAGTGGCATCTGCCATGTGTTGCTCCAGAGCATAGCTTTTATGGCTACTTGCTTTTATCAGTACCCATAATGCAGAGGGGGGGAAAAATAAAAACGACAGTCCTTGGTGCACAAAAGTACCAATTGTATACAGCAGGATGAAAGGCTCCTCTGAAGAAGTATTTCTAATAAATCCAGGAAAAATGTAGGTTGATGTGCAAGGCACTTGGACATTGGATTAGAATGCCCTTTGGGAAGGAACAAGAGATGACAGAGTAGCTAACAATGGAGTTTTTTTAAATGGGTGTCTTCCTGGCACTGCCCCTGACCCCAGAAAGGAGAGAATCCTTTTGTCCTGAGCAACTTGCCTGTTTTCAGCTGGAAGTAGCCTGCAGGCTGGGGGTGCCACGGGGAGGCGAGGGCCGCCACGGACTGCAGGCTCGGGGTATGCTGCTTCAGGTCCGCAGTGATGTTGCTGACCCCGTAAACACCCAGCATCTCGGTCACCACGGCAGGCAAGTACACCAGCCTCCCTTTGGTAGCGTAATAACCAACGGTGACGTTATGAGAATGTTCCAGAATCTCCACCTGCAAAACAAAGGGACTCACAGAGCTCAGAATGTGTTTCCACTTGAAGTTCTTGGGGTTTCCCAAGACCATTTAGCATGGCTGGGGAAGAGGATGTTCTCGTTCAACAAATATTCTAACAGCCCTATAAAGCAAACAATGACTGGCAGGTCTCAAAATATCAGAATACAACAAAATATAAACTACAATATGTTGAACCTACATAGAACAGAATTAAATCTGTGGGGTTTTTTTATCCCTTCAATGCCTCAGGATAATCCCGTGAGCACTAATTATCTCCCAAGATGGCAGGCAAAACCGATTTTTAGGGAATGGCATACTAAAAAAAAAAAAGCTTTGTTATATTTCTCATCATTGATGGAAATTAAGAGGCAGAAGTGAGAAATCAAGTGAGGGTACCTTCAGGACAGGAGTCAAAGAGTATATGAGGTGACTTCCTCTCTCTAGAAGCTGAGAGAAGAATGGTTTAGACGTCACCCATTCTTGACATGTAGTTGGTTCAAGACTGAGGCGGGGGTGGGCCATAAAATGAGTTTCTCTTACAGCTGAGTCCTAGGAGATAGGATCATCTGAGCTCTTCTTAACCCAACTGGACGGTTTTGAGGTTTTAGACTTTATTATTTGTTTTTGCTTTTTGACTTAGGTTTTATATTAACAAGTCAGGGTGTGGTGTGTGTGTGTGTGTGTGTGTGTGTGTGTGTGTGTGTTATTTTCTTTATTGATTAAAATATTACATATGTGTCCTTATCCCTCCATTCTCCCCCCACTACTCCCCACTCATGCCCTCACCTCCTGTCCTCTGTGTCCATTGGTAAGCTTATATGCGTGCATACAAGTCCTTTGGTTGATCTCTTCCCCTTACCACCACCCTCCCCTATCTTCCCTCTAAGGTTTGTCAGTCTGATCGATGCTTTTCTGTCTCTGGATCTGTTTTTATTCATCTGTTTATGCTGTTTATTATAAGTCAGGGTGTTTTAACCACCCACTTTCCCCCCTTATTGTGGCATCTCCATTAGTAGTGTCACATGCATTTGCCAAAGAGATCAAGTAAATTGGTTTTGCAACAGGCTGGCTATGCCTTTGGCTCCTCCACACTTAGCTTCCAAAGGTGGTCTTCCAGACAGCTGCCAGAGGGGAGGGGATGCTGGGGCTGGGTGGAAGAGTTAAGGGGTTAAGAAGCATACATTGGTAGCTTCAAAACAGTCACGGGGATGTGAAGAACAGCATAGGAAATACAGTCAATGATTTGTAATAACTACATATGGCGCCAAGCTGGTACTGGAAATATCAGAGGATGACTCTGCGAAATATATGATTATCTAACCACTGTGCTGTACACTTGGCACTAATACAAAGTAATATTGAATGTAAACTGTCACTGGAAAATAAAAATAATTTTTAAAGGTGGCTTTAGGTGGAACCATGAATGGAGCATGGACACAGCAGTAAGGGTAAGGGATGCCACAGAGAAAGTGACTCTTGCCCCCGGCCTTCTCGTTACCCCCAGGACCAAGTCTCAGTTTGGGGATTACTTACTTTTAATGCCATTCTGATACGTACAATCACATTTTTGCCAGCCATGTCTAGCTTGAATTTAACAAGCTGCTTCCGTTACTCTCACTTTTATGATTCCCTTTTCTTAGGGACTTCCATTTATGGTGGTAATATCAAACATCCTTTCAAAAGATATGTACTGAAGTTCTTAAAAATGAGCCAATTAAAAAAAAAAAAATACGTCCTGTCACAGCAGTCTGTGATGAGATGCAGAAAAGGCAAAAACTACAAAGGTCGTTTGCAAATGAGAGAAGTTTAGTGGAACCTGCATCAGGCAACCAATAGAAACATTCACATTTTTCACTCTCTCTCTTTTTTTTTTTTTTTTTAATATATTTTATTGATTTTTTACAGAGAGGAAGGGAGAGAGATAGAGAGCCAGAAACGTTGATGAGAGAGAAACATCGACCTATCAGGGACGTGCCCGCAACTAACATACATGCCCCTGACCAGAATCGAACCTGGGACCCTTCGGTCCGCAGACCGACGCTCCACCACTGAGCCAAACCGGTTTCGGTGCACTCTCTCTCTCTCTCTCTTTTTTTTTTTTTTTTTAATATATCTTTATTGACTTCAGAGAGGAATAGAGAGGGAGAGGGGGACAGACACATCAATGACGAGAGAGAGTCATTGATTGCTGCCTCCTGCACTCCCCACACTGGGTTTCAAGCCCACAACCCAGGCATGTGCCCTGACCAGGAATTGAATCATGACCTCCTGGTTCACAGGTGGATGCTCAACCACTGAGCCACGCTGGCTGGGCCACGTTTTCCACGTTCAAATAAGGTTTCTGCTGCAGAAACCACAGATGCCTCACATGGAATGTTTTTCTTTCTTTCAAAATTACATAAAAGAGACTGACAACGGCCAGCAAATCACGTGCCAAACATTACTCTCAGGCCTTGGGGTGGCAGTGGGCGAGGGGCCACCAAGCCAACTGCAGCTGCAGAACAAAACATCAAAGGAAGAGGCCAGAGCCACCGTTTCAAGTGTTGAAAAGGGAGGCCCACCAACTGCCAATTGCATTGACTGCTTTAAAACCTGGAATCAAACCAAGAGCGTGTAATGCGAGGCTTCCATCACAGCGAGCAGTGGTTAAATAGTACTTGGCATCAGAGCGTTTGGGGGGGGGGGGGGAGTGTTTACTTCACCGTCTGCTGCTGGCAATTTGAGCAAAGTTGGCCGCAATTACAAGTCAGAGTAATTTTTAAATGTCCCGAATTAATCATTAACTATTTACAATGACAGGGAAGATAAAGGAAGAAGTAATGGATGATTTCTGGAGAATTACACGAACAATCACTAAACACTGTTCCCAGACAATGGAATAATAGGACCATTTAAAACAGTGTACCCAGGCTTTAAGAAAAATCTGGACAGAAGGCAATTAGTCTCAATCTTCTACCTCAAGATCTGACCTTTTTCTCCAATAACAGCACATGAACTATTTGGAAAAAGAGAGAGAGAGAGAGAGAGAGAGAGAGAGAGAGAGAGAGAGAGAGAGAGAGAGAGAGAGAGAGAGAGAGGGAGGGAGATGCTACATGGCTATGGTACCCGACGGGGAAGGAAAATGATCCGAGTCGAGTCTGGTCCCCAGAGGATTAGACGGGTGACAAAGCAAGGGGCTTACGTGAGCCGAGACGTCGTTCTGGCGAAAAGCCTTGCGCAATGCCTGCGTGAGCCCTTTGGCTATGCTGAGCTTCAAGGTTTCACTGCTCTGTGCTCTCCTCTGCGTCAGCAAGAGAACTGTGGGATGAAACCGGAGGATGGTCATCGGGGGAAGGCAGCAGACATCCCCATACAGGAGCCCTCCTCCCCTCCCCAGTCAGCGCCTTCCACAAGCTCTGAGCAAAGCTGGGGAGTGCAGGTCCGATGCGGGCAGGGCTGGGGTGGCAGTTCTGCGGGGCTCCACTCAAGTCCCAAGGAGAGAAGGCCCTCACCAGCCATTTGTGCGGAGAGACAGCCATCATGCCCAGTGGCACCTCATTTCAGACCAACGCTGCTCCTGACTTGGAACGGTGGGGCTCAGCCGGACCCGTGCTTGGTGGGTCTGCATGCAAGGGAGTTCCCTCAACAGCATTCCCAAGAGCTGACTTAGGGGCAGGCGCTGGGCCAGGTGCTGCAGCCTGAACCAGGAAGGTAGGCCCCGCCCCACAAGAGCGATGGAGACGGGGTTGGAGACCAAGGAGAAAATGGACTGGCAGGTGCTATTTGAAGGGAAGCCTAGGGTGCTATTGGAGGCCCTAGTCCAGCTCTGATTTGGGCAAGGGCGTGGGGACATGGGAAGGTTTCCCGGTGCTTCTGCTGAGTCCTGAAGGATAATGGGAGTGAACTTGGCAGGATGCGGGGGAACCCACTCCCACCCACTCCTGCCCACTCCCAGTGGAGGGAAGACCAAGTGCAAAAACACAGGGGAGAAGAGTGAACTATTTCAGTGTATGTGTTTAGGCTTGGTCTGAGGGCAACGGGACGTGAAGGGTTTTGAGTGAAGGCACCCATTTTAGAAGGTTCCTTTCACTGCAGACTGGAGAACAGGTTGGTGCGGGGAGGGGAATGGAGTCTGGAGGCAGAGAGATAAATTTGGCCACTGGTTCAGACATTTAGGTGAGAGATCGTGACAATGTGAACTAGGGAAGTGGCAGCTATGGTGGAGAGAGAGGGCATTCCAGGAGACCTGAGAGGAGCTGGTGCTTTTCAGGGTGTGGCTAGGGAGCCAGGGGTTGATGAAGATGAGAGTGGGGAGAATGTTCCAGACTTCTGCATCCAGGTGGTTGAGGTTGTCACTCAGAGGAAGAGGCATAGATTTGGCGAGCAAGGGGGAGGGGAAGTGGGAAACCAGATGGTACAATTTCTTGAGATATAGGAAGAGAAACTGTACCTTCTACTATGGCTAGTTTCACAATTTCCCACCGTAAAATAGGATAGGTCCCAAGAAATAATTTCATTTAGTTCCATGTGGGGTGAAGAGGAAGGCGGGATGTGGGCATTCAACACTGGCATGCTCTTTCAAGTCCTAGGTCTGGTGGTTTCTGTAGCAAACACCACCACACCATGAAAAGGACCCTGTGCCTTCTCGGTCTGCGCTGCTGCCACTAAGAGGCGGGGGCTGAAGAGAGAGCATCCACCCCCCACATTCTCAGGGCCTCCTTCTTAACATCCAAAGAAATCCCGGGTGCCCACCTACTGATTTTTAAGCACCTGCTGATAGAGAAAACCCATGGCACAAAGCCTTTCTGAATCCCGTGGCATCTCCCCAAGTTGTAGATTTACTAACACATCATGCATGCATGTGACACGTCACTGCCGGCAAAACCCGTGCTTCCTCAGGCCCCTGGTCGCACTGGTTTCCGAGAAGCCTCTGGTTTTAGGACTGATCACGAGTCTAGATGGTGCCACAGAATGCTTGTCTTACCCTCCGTCACTGGATAAAGATCAGGGGCTCTCAACCCTGGCACTACTGACATTCTGGGCTGCTGGATTGTTCTTTGTCGTCAACAATCCTGTGCATTGTAGGATGTTTAGCAGCATCCCTCGTCTCGGCCTCACCAGATGCCAAAGCATCCTCCCCACCCTTCAAGACTCCCCCACATCTCCAGGTGGACAAATGTCCCCGGGGAGGGGGAGCTAAACTGCCCCGGGTGAGAACCGCCGACCTCAAAGAAATCTACTAATTTTGTTGCATCTCTGAAGCCACCATGTGCTCGCTGCTTCCCGGTAAACCCAGGAGAGTGGAGTCTCACCTGTCTTCACCAGGAGTTTACTGGACATGTGACACTCCAGGTTGGACACCATTTTGCCGGTTGTGACCATAGCCGTGGACACGGCGGGAAGGGCAGCGTTTGGGTTTTCTGCCAGCAGAGGCGGCAGCCGGGTAGCCCTTACGGGTGCGGTGACGGAGGTCAAGGCCGCCGTGATGGCCAGCGAGCGTGTGGTGGACGCCCTGGGCGGGTCTGGGTGGGTGGGGGATGGGGGGCTCGTGTACATGGCTTGTGGTTTCCTGGGGAGGTGTGTGGTGGACAACAGGCCAGAGGCGGTGCCCGTGTTCCCTTGCATGGCTGTGTGAGTGCTCGTGGTGTGTGCTGATTTTGCAAACATGTAGGCTGGCGTGAATGAGAAGGCCGGGTGGCCCACCCCGGGTGTTGCCTTCAGGCCAGACGCCGTGTTGTTGGTGGCATGTCTGGCGAGAGCAGTGGTCAAACTGCTCTTGACGAATCCCGAGGCCAATGCCGAAGGGCTGCTGCCAGCGCCCTTGGCCACCAGGGCTGCAGACAGGGCGGGTGGGCTTGGTTTCCTCAGGAGCAAGGTGGACGCTGTTGCAGCTGCTGTTGGTCCTGCCTTGGACAACACTGCGAAGCCCGCTGCAAAGAGAGAGAAAGCAGAGTTTGTCACTGGCCCACGGTGTACATGTCACGTGTGGTGACGCATGGATGTCACCGATGGGTTTGCTGGGATAAAAAAGTCGCTGTGCTCTGGAATGTAGGCCACATAGCTTAGGCTCATTACGTCAAGTAAGCACAATGAGAATGCCAGTTACAGCAAAGCTATGGTCGGTAATAAGGACACGTAAGTTCCTAATACTTTCAAAACCACCATGTCAGCAGAGGGTCAAGGACACGACTCTTTGGGGCTGCTGAGTCTCTCATCAGCGTGGATGGGCGTGTCCGCTCCCGAGCAGAGCTGGGCATCTGTGTGGAGCTTGAAGATGTTTTGGCCACAGGAGCAGTCCTACCTGTTTTCTGGGTACCAGGAAGCAAACTTCCTGCAATAGTGGCTGCACCTGTCCATTCTTTGGGGCGCTGAGAAGGCGGGAGCACTCTGGACGGGGTCCCGAGGGAGGCCCTGGTTGACAGAGGAGATTCGGCAGTAGAGCGATATCTCGGGATACTCTGAAACGGTGTGGAAGCATGTACCACAGGAGCTGGGTAGAAGTTGCTGGAAATATGGGAACTTGTATCCATTCCGTCTGAAAGCATCTCCTGCAAGCCAGCTGTGGAAGGCAGACTTGGGGAGGGTAGCGGGAGAGGCCATGTTGGATGGACAGGCCGCTGTCCAGGGGGATGAGTCTTGACTTGTTGACTTGAGGGTGGGAAATCTTCAACTTTGGGTGTTTGGAAGTCTCTGGAATGGTTGTTATTACTTGCAGACGAGACAGCTGTACGGTTTCCAACCATGGTCACACCTGACGGTTGGATGGGCTGGTTGGTGCCTGATTCAAGGACTGAATCCGCAAGGCTAACACCTTCTGCAGTTGCTCCGTGCCCAGCAGTGACTCTGAGATCGGGGGGGTCTATTGTATTAACAGCTGGAGCTAAAACACTGGGGGCAGGAGAGGGAGCTGAGTGAGGTCTCCAACTTGTGGAGTTAATTGTGTGCCCATTTATAGCATCCTTTGTCTGCTGCAGCAAGCCAGATAGCATTGGTTCTGGGGAAAGGGGTCCAATTTCTGCGGAAAGGGAACTCCAGAGCACATCTGTGACCACTGGCTCTTGCGTGCTTCCCATTGTTGAGAAATAGACCTCGGAGGAGGAGGGAAGGCCTGCCACCTGTTTGGAAGTTGAAACTGGCAGCTCTGCAAGGCCAGTCACAGCTGCGTCCGTCCCTGGCTTGCTGCTGGAAAGGCCGGGAGACGGGGAAACAGTCTGGGCGAATGGTGTGGACGGGAGGGAACGTGACGGGAATTCCGAAGCAAGATCTGCTCTTGGCGTTCTGCTGACGGTGGATGAAGCAGGATCGGCGCTGAAAGCAGAGGTGACTCCACTTAGAGTGCGAAGACTCAGAACCTCTTTACTTAGGAGGGTCTGCATAGCAACTGTCACATTTGCCTTTTCGTGTTTCCGCGGGACAGCTGTCACGCCGTCTTCTTTCTGCAGCGGCAATGTCCAAAGGGTGGCGAGGAGGTCAGGAAATGTGCTGGAGAGGGGGAAGTTGGTAGCTTCAGTAGGAGGGGGTCCATGGCGGCCCTCTCCCCGAGGAGTTGGCATGCGGGGCTGGGTGGGTGGAGGGGCATGGTTCCGTGCCGGCTGCGGGACAGCGGGAAAGTCTGCCTCTGTGCCCTCTGAGGGTGATGCAGAAAGGACGGCTTGTCCTTGGCCGGCGGGAGCGGGAGGCAGGGGAGAAGGCACCAGAGAGGAAGAAGTGTGTTCTGCTGAACGGACGGGCTTTTCAGAATCCCCTGGAGCTGCTGACAGGTGCAGTGGGTCAGCGGAGTCCTTGGCAGCGGTGGCGGCTAGCATCCTGCCGGTCACCTCCACCCGCCCTGACTCCGCAGTCTGGAAAAGTGAGGGCACAGACCTGCTCCTTAGAGCTGGCAGAGACACCCCACGGTGCACTGCTTCAGCTGCCTCCACTGTGACTGGCTGGGTGGATGCAGGCCTTGATGGCGCTTCCAAGCTCGACCAGGAGGGAGGTCCACGGGGCAGGTGAAGGTTTCCAAGGGATAGGGGAGGGGGAGACCGATGGGCCGGTGCTGGCCCGGACCTCAGAAACTCTGGTGTGGGGGAGCCTGCTGCGCGAGGATCCTCCGTGGGGGGCAGCTCCGAACGCTGCTCTGCTGAAGGTCCAGAGAAACCTAGACGGGGGACGCTTGTTAAATCCTGGGCATTTGGGGGTGGGGTGTGGTTCATCTCATCAGTAGGTGGGCTTAGGGGATCAGCCACGCTCTGACGTGGAGGGCAGTCAGTTGGAGCTGTTTGGGGGACCAAAGGCTCTGTGGTAGGCGGCCCGGCCGGCTTAGGAAAGATGATGGGATGAGGTGAGGCGGGAGCCAATAAAGGGGATGGAGATGGAGGGAGGAGTGGGAGGATGTCTGACCTCAGAGGGTGTCGATCTGAGATGGAAGGAGTCCCTCCCCACCCTGGCTGAGATGGGAGGACAGGGCTCAAGGACGTCCCCCGGGGGACAGTGGGTAATGCGGGGAGCATGCTAGTGTGAGGCAGACCTGACACACCGGCCGCTTCTCTTCCCTGCTGCGGTCTCGGCTGGACTGGTGACTCGGTGGGATCCCCGGAAGGCTCGAGGGAGGCGCTCTGTCCGCTTCCTTGGGAAGGGGCAGGAGAGAGGTCCCCGTGGGCCCTCGGCCTGCGGAGCGTCTTGGGAGGAGGCGTTTGGGTGAGTTGCGGCACGCTGGCGTTGTCAGGGGTCGGGCCCAGCGCATCCGTGGTTCTGTCCACTGCCGAGGAAGACGGGGCGTCTGAGAAAGGCCATGTTGGTGAGATCGGGGACAATTTCCCGGGAGGAAATGACTCTGGGTCTGGGGTGACGGTGATCTGCAGGTTGTCTGTTCCTGTGAAATAAAACACCAAGCGGTCAGACGTCAGACAGCAAGTGCCTGCGGTGGCAGGTCCCGAAGAGAAGGCGAGGGCAGGGACGCGCTGCTCAGACCTCTTCCACCCGGGCACCCACCGAGGTGAGGACACAGTAAACACCCAAACAACGCATTCTGTCACAAGAAACATGCAAATGCTGCAGCTGACCTACAGGGCAGGAATGGAGACACGCACACTTTAATCTCAGCTTCATTGGGCCAGGTTTAAACAAAACCACAGCTCTCAGAGCTTCAGGAAAGTGGTAAGTCAATCCCGTAAGACCATCACACCATGACCTGCACGCGTATGCACACACGGGTGAAGTATCAAGCTCTTCCCTTGCTTACCAAGTTCGCATCGAGTCCTACAAAAGCTAAACTTATCCCTGAACTTAGAGGCAGGAAACAGATCATTCACACAGTAAAACATGAAGAGTTTTCAAAAGTGTTTGGCCAGGTTGGGTGCAGTCTGGCATGAACAACTGACCAACATGGTGAGAGTGGCTTCCCCAGGCTCCCAGGTCTCAGAGCCCCATGTAAACACCACGATGCATAATGATAGATTGGTCCTGTGGTTGGCAAACTCATTAGTCAACAGAGCCAAATATCAACAGTACAACGACTGAAATTTCTTTTGAGAGCCACATTTTTTTTTCCAGCTTTAAAAAAAATATATTTTTATTGATTTTTTACAGAGAGGAAGAGAGAGGGATAGAGAGTTAGAAACATCGATGAGAGAGAATCATAGATCAGCTGCCTCTTGCACACCCCCTACTGGGGATGTAGAGAGCCACATTTTTAAACATAAACTTCTTCTAATGCCACTTCTTCAAAATAGACTCGCCCAGGCCGTGGTATTTTGTGGAAGAGCCACACTCAAGGGGCCAAAGAGCCGCATGTGTCTTGCGAGCCGCAGTTTGCCGACCACGGGATTAGTCAGGCCTCCGTCTTCCTGAGCCTGTGAGCCTGCTGGTCGCTAACTCTCAGGACTCGGGCTGTGATGCTCTGGGTGTGCTTGGATCATCCCTGCCTCGTGGCAAACACCTGTTAACCTCACCAAAGCCCTCTGCTGCTGCCTCTCCCCTCTCAGCCTCTCTCTTCAGTCCCTAGAGTTGTGTCCGTCCCCTCTTGGTGGCTGTTTGTATCACAAACCCCAAGCAGACACCCTCTTTTCCAGTGTCTGCTACTTCAGGAGTGTTCTCCAATCAGGCTCAAGGGGCCTCCCGACGCTGCCTCGATTGCCTCCTGGGTTCCTCAACACGACTCCTGTCACCCAGACAACGGCCGTCCTTTCCCACTCAGGGCTGTTCTTTTGGCCTCTGGGGACCCCGAGAAGTCAGCCTCGGTGTCCAACCTTGGTCATGAGACTGTCCCTCTGTGCCACTCACTGCCCACCGGCGGGGTTTCTCACTCGCAGCCCTTACCGAAAAGCAAACCCAATCACCAGCAGCTCTCAGATGTAGGAAACTAAATAAGCCAACCAACTAATAAGCATTAATAAATACCCCAGACCCCTCTTCCTCATCTGCCAGAGAAATGTATCTGCAGTTTCTATCAGGTCCCAGAGTCAGACTGCCTGGATTCAAGTCCCACTCCTCCATCTGCTAGCTGTGTGGCCTTGGCCAAGTTACTGCACCGCTCTATGCCTCACGTACTCATCGGTAAAACGGGGGCAATTACAGTACTACCTACCTGCCTCCTGAAATTCTCTTAAGGATTAAAGTGAAGTGATACAGCTTGGCTCAGTGGATAGAGCGTCGGCCTGCGGACTGAAAGGTCCCGGGTTCGATTCTGGTCTAGGGTATGTACCAGTAGGGGGTGTGCAAGAGTCAGCTGATCGATGTCTCTCTCTCATCGATGTTTCTAACTATCTCTCTCTGTTCCTCTCAATAAAATATATTTTTAATAATAATAATAATAAATAAATAAGTAAATAAATAAAGCGAAGTGATACCGTTAAAGTCCTTAGGACACAGCTTAGTGCTCCAAAAAGGCTAGCTTCGGATGGTGCTGTTACTGTTTACTTGTTCAGCCCAAGGCAGACATGTTTGTACTCAGAGGCTTCCTCAGAGAACCGAGGCCCGTTAGAACTCATTGTCACGATCCCACACCGCCGTGGCGCACATACAGTCTGCAGTCACCCCCTAATCCCACCCTGAGGAAGAGGAAAGGTTATCACCCCTGTTTGACAGCTGAGGAAACCAGGGCTCAGGGGGATCAAGTGCTAACGTGGCCAAGGCCACACAGAGAGTTATAGTCAAGTATGTCTCGCTTCTTTCAACGTCAGGTCCAAGTCTCCCCAGTGCCGTGCGTGGGCAGGAGGTCCTCCTCCACCTCCGGGTCTGGGCTGGGCTCCGAACTCCCAGAGGGACCCCCACAGACCGGAGCCCACACCTCCCGAGTTTGATGGTGGGTCCCTCTTGGGCGCTGCTTGGGCAAACCTCACCGAGCACAGCGCCACATCAGAGAGACCTGTCAGGCTCGGACTCCGGGAAGGTCAGAAGAGATGGAGGACGCGCCCACCCCACACCCCGGAGTTTTGAAGCGTGGCTCCGGGGACATTCTTGCCCAAGATGATTTCTCTTGGGGCTTTTTAAAAACAAAATGCACCGGTTAAGAGAACCAAATTGCCACTCCTTGAAGCGCTGCCAGCAAATAAGGCTCTGTTTAATGCTTTGACATTCAACGTGTTGGCTCACAGAGCTTTTCTTTCTGTAAGAAGTTGACGGCTTTCAAATCCTTTGTGAAACAGGCTTAGAAATCAGGTTGACTTCCCTCCCGTTATATGCAATGCCACTTCCATTTGTTAAAACCTCGGTTTACGGGATCATTACGGAAAATTTAGCAAAGATGGAGAAGTAGAAGGGAAAGAAAAAGAATCCCACTCCTCCCTCAGGCTCTCCACATGCAGGTCCCGCCACAGGGAGAAACCAGGGTTCACACGGAGGTGAACTGCACACCCGGACTTCAGCCTAGAAAAAGCTTTGGTTTGCTTACTCTGCAGACCTGTGACCACCCTGCATTCCCAGCTATGCACCTGCTCTTTCTCTTTGAACAGTATATTAAAGCACATTTCCTTATTGGATGAGGATGCATATTATTTCCACTACAATGCAGTATGTATTTTTACGTGTTTAAGCATCCCCCAACTGTCAAGGTACAGGTTGTTTATAAAAGTTCAGTATTATAAATAACTAGAGGCCCGGTGCATGAAATTTGTGCAGGGGGGGGGGCGGGGGGGACCCCTCAGCCCGGCCTGCACCCTCTCCAATCCCATTAGGCACAGGCAGAAGTAACCGGGGCTGAGAGTTGAGCAAACTAACAGCGTATTACCAGGTTCAGACATAAACCACTTCTCAGAGATAGTCCCAGAATTAAGATATCATCCTTCCCACGATCTTTATTTATAGAGCACTTTTCCTTTCTGCTTAGTGTTATAGCCAATTATTTCCCTTATTGGGACAATCACTTAGCATGAACCCCACAAATACACACTGAATGCTTTAGCTGAGGTCACCCCCTTACAAAGGTTAAGAAGCTGTAATCCTCAGATAAAAGGTGGTTGATGCCACTGTTTAGGCGCAGGCGTCTTCAAACTACGGCCCGCGGGCCACATGCGGCACGCAGAGGAGTCTGATCTGGCCTGCCAGGTTTTTTGGGCAGTGAGTGCAGCCGAGGTGTTACAGTAGGAATTAGTAGTTCATATAGTCCAGCCCTCCAGCTCTCTGAGGGACCGTGATCTGGCCCCCACTTTAAAAAGTTTGAGGACCCCTAATAGGGTGTGGGATCTGGGGTCAGAGCTGATGGGTAATTAGCCTCACTGCCTTGCTCTAGCTGTGTGAACTCAGGCAAGTTACACACCTTCTGAGCCTGTTTCCCCTTTTCTAAGATGAGATAGCAACAATCGCTGTCTCACAAGTGATTATTAAAATAAACATTTAAAAAAATAGGAACCTATGTATACTCCAGGATCACATTTATGCAATTACACAAAAATTATGTATGGATGGATGTAAATAATAATAAATTATTCAATGCATAAATTATCCATAAGTAACACTTTCATAAAGTCTGTGACAGTCAACACAGGCACATGTACCAGCACATACAAAAAAAAACATACTTACAAAAGGGGAATGTAAGGCTTTTCACTGCATGTAAGGGTCAAATGGTCTGATCCTAGGCCAAACTCTGGACTCTTAACATATTCCTGAAGGTTATCAGTTGCAACCCCACCCTTGCACCATCTACAATGTGGCTCACAATAGGCAGAGGCCTTCTCATTCATTTTGCATCTCGTGAGGTTGGAAAAACAAACAAACCTGTATTAAGGACATCCAGACAACCTGACATACTCTAAAACTGAGAATAAGCAAAGATAACCATGTCAGAATACCTGTCCCAATAAATATTGGCCCCAAGCAATGATTTGAGGAGGAAAAGTTCTGTATTCGAAACCATTCAGGAAATCTCACACGGGAGAGTGACAGTGCAGACAGTACGGAAGCCCAGTAGTAAACAAGAGTCCTGTTTAACCTATTGTAGAAAATCCCCAAACTAGATGACTGTGGAACTCTTTTTTCTTTTCCTTTTCTGCACGATACCAGTGAATGTCCCCAGAAGCTGCTGCTCTGAAGAACACCTTGAGGAAATTCTAGTGTAGATCATTTCAGAGTTCAAAGTCGTTGCAATTTCAGACACAGAGAAAACCCAGAGAAGAACTGATGGGTGGTCTGAATCCACTATGGAATCAGGAAACTGTTCTCTGTCATTATGAATTGCTTGGCAAATTCTGCTCCTGTTTGCTTGTTTCACAGTGTATTTTACCAGACGTACGCATGACCTCTTCCCCTGATGCCCATCACTTGAGATAGCATTGGGGTAACACCAGGAAAGCTGTCAAGTGCTGTTGAAATGTCAAGGACCATCATTGTTATACTTGTTGGCTCTCATGCCATCTTGGGCATTAAATTAATTTA